CTTTGTCATTGGCCTCTGTGCTGTTAAGTTCGCACGTAAATGAACACGAATTGAATTGAAAATTATTATTATTATTATTATTATTATTATTATTATTATTATTATATCTGCGGTCTATCGGTGCAATATTGATGAACTGTTATGCATTCGTTTAACACGAAGAAATGATCATAATTGCTAGATTCCTAATGTTATTTCTTTCAGTCTCGTCTGTTCATTTTAATTAATATTTCACTCGTTATTGGTAATAATGCGAATAGATATTTAGTAGCAAAGGTTAAAACATTTTACAATAAATTATGTGACTGGGGCATTCATTGTTTAATTACAACCACGAACATCTAATAATTTATTTTAAAAGATTTCAGACGTTTAACAGAAAGAAACTTCGTCCTTAATGTAAGTTTATTTCTCTTATAATACGCGTTTCCTACTCCATAACCCACCCACTACCCAAATCATGCTGTAGTTTACATAACACATGAGAATGTCTCTCCAATCGCTGTAGCCCCACACTGCTTATAACTTCTACTCTCGTCTGTTACATAACGAACAACACATATGGAGGCAGCAATGTCTGCAGGTAATTCATTGTAATGACATTCTGATACCTTTCACTAGGTTTGCTTCTTATTTGGACCCACATTTTCCAAGAGAAAAAGTAGTTTAAGTAACACAGTCACGCGCCCTCTTTAAAGGACAAGGGGAAACACTATTAGTTTCCTTTACAACTGGCAGACCACCTGAGGCAAGTGAGCACAATTATTTCGCAGCATTTGATAAGAAAAGTTTAAAAAATGCGCCTACTAACTTCGGTTGCCAGTCTGTCCGCATATAATTCAACAACCACTGAATGTTGTCAACACATATGAACTGTGAATAAAATCGCGTGTGTGCGCTTAACTGTCTACAGTTTGTTTACGTTTCGGAGGAACGTATCGCCTCCATCTTCAGGGTAGAAGGAAAAATATAAGAAATCCGCAGGCGAAGAGACCGGTTGCTTGTACCGGTTCTCACGGTCTCTTCGCCNTGGATTTCTTATATTTTTCCTTCTACCCTGAAGATGTAGGCGATACGTTCCTCCGAAACGTCGGTTAACACCACATATAGACGGTGCCAAATCCCAGAAGACTGCTTTCTTCAAAGTCTTATCTATGTTTGTTCTTGAATGTGGTGATTCACACTAGCCGTAAGCTTATGTGCTACCTCCAGGGTACGTCGCGGCCGTGTTGTGAGCGGTTGGTAAACTAGTTGTGCGGAGTTGCTGAAATGCCTTTTGTGTTTTCACACGTGGAATATTGTGATATGCATTTTGTGCATGGATTTTGCGGTGGCAATGCACGTGCTCCTGTTGAAGAATACCAAAGGCGTTTTCCCGATCGAAGGATTCCATCTCGAAGTGTATTTACGCGAATTCACCAGACATTACGTGATACTGGTTCTCTTCCGAGTGTTTCTGTGCAGTCTGAAAGGGAGGATGTACGAATGATAAACGCACGAGAGAACATTCTTGAGATGGTTCAGAGTAGTCCGCGTCTGTCCACTCGTAGAATGGCCTGTCGCATCAGCGATCACGTATGCAGGTGTGGCGAACTTTACATGATGAGTTGTATCCTTACCGTGATCAAAGGGTACAACATCTGGAACCAGGCGACCATGCTCAGTGTATGTATTTTTGCCACTGGATAAAAGCTCATCCCGAACTCTTAAGCGTCATTTTATTTAGTGATGAAGCGTCTTTTACCCGGGATGGTGTATTTTAGTAGGTACGCAGTCGGCTTATACCAGAATGCGCAGTCAGCTATGTTACGTCAGCGCTTGCCATCCCTGTGTCATGTATAGTGATTGGAACCCCAAGGACAACTACGACATGGCGTGCGAGTTTTTTGTAGTTCAATTTAATGGCTTCATGTCACTCAAAGTTAGTTTGATGTTACATACATTATTAACATTACAGAAACCACATATTCCTGCCAGCTTTGATAATCAGTATTTGATAATCAATAAGTGTGTAACACCTGTCAAAGTTTCACACTTCTCTGGCCATTATCTCCGTAACCGTTCAACTTTTGACTAAGTGTTTTGGGTTATTCATTCATTCATCAGTAATCTGTCAGACGACAGGTCCACAATCTCTTCCAAAACAGTTCCTCCACTTAATGCGATCTTCTGTTTTTGGAAAGAGACTATCCAGGAAAAGTGATAATGTGGTAGTTTTTCCATTTGCTTTCCACATCGCAGTACAGCAGCCGTTCAAACCACTCTGGTCACGCCTGTTGCTATACGAACTTGAACCATCTCGAGCATCATTTGCTCTGTGCTTCAAGTCGCTGCTGATGACGCTGCTTCCGGCATCAGTTTTTGGTGTCTCTCTTCGTCTGATGCCTACCCTTTGACCTGTCCAGCAAGGGAGGCCCTGCCAGTAGCTACGCTACCGCTGGTATAGCTCTCAGGGTCCTTAGCATACTCAAACCCCCTCACCACGATAAGGCGGAGACACCAACGAGGGGGTTAACACAGACGACAGGTCCACAATCGGCATACTTTAACATAAGAAACGCCCTCCCGAAGTCTGGCAAATCCTCCTGGGACACCCTGTATATATCAGCTTTCCCATCAGTATAACTATAGACTACGGACTGGACGGCCGGTATTCGATTTCCGGCAGGTACAAGAGTTTTTTCTCTTTTCCACAGCGTCCAGACCGACCCTGGAGCCCACCCAAGCCCCTAGCCAGTGCGTATCGTGTGGCTCTTCAGGGATAAAGCGGCCAGGGCGTGAAGCTGACCATTAAACGCTATATCGTGCCGAGGTGGAGCTATACCTCCTCTCGCCTATACGTCTTCACGGCGTGGTGCCTAATATTAAAACCAATACAATCATATTTTTTTACCTTGCCTTTATGTCAGCAGTCCCAATGCCTTTAACCTTGATTAACGGTAATAAGAGACCGCAGGAAGAATGCGTGGGCGTGACCTGCAAGGTGCACAGAGCTTGGGATGGGAAGGGGGGGTGGTGCATATCAGTTGCTGACCCCGGGTAACCTCTCTCACTCTCTCTCTCCCCCTCACAGCACACTGAGTTAGGACTGTTGCTAATGCGCGACAGGCACATCAATACGTCTGTGATTATTCTCTAATCCACGTCGGTGAATGGTTGATTTGAAATCGCGCCAAGACTAGTTGAACCAATGGACATCAAGTAAATAATTGCAGCGCATAATGAAAGTGGCAGCCATACAAAGAAGCCACGAATTTTAAGGTTATGCGAATATAATGTGTAGTACTGCTATTACTACTACTACTACTACTACTACTACCATAAATGTAATGTGCATAATGGATATTTAACATAATAGCCATCCATGGAGTTGTGAAACGTGGCATTATCACCATGTATAAGATGAAAATACCGTGCATGTTCTTTAAATTAGATATAGTTGGCCAATTTATGCGTGTAAAGAGTTGCATGAGAGGTTTCTCAGCGGTTCCTGAAGTTTCTAAGGAATGTAACGGATCAAAAATGCTAGCATGGCAAATACACGGTTATGGGGATTTGGAAGAATTAAAACTGTCAAAGACAGTACGTATACCCCACATGAAAGGTCCAGATGATGTGTTGATTCAAATAGCTGCAACATCAATAAATCCTATTGATTTAGCAATGATGGGTAAGAAATGTGATTTGTTTTGCTCTGTGAAATATACAGTTATTACCAGTTCTTCTTATAGGGCAAGATGAGGTAAGGGTGCCACCCTATTTTCAGCACTATCTTCTTATCTTTGAAGAACTCAGAATCAGTTTGTCACTTTAAGGTTGCTTAGGATTGCATCAGTATTACTATGTCATATTCTTGATATACACTATAAATGAAAATATTTGTGCAGAGTTGCATTAAGTGAAGTCATACAATTTGTATGATTACTGTTTTCTGAAAAGAATAATTTTGTCATTCCCAGAGCATCACATCGGTATACATTTTTTAAAAGAGAAGATTAATAAAAACGTAGAAATGTCCATGATTTATTTAAACCGTCTTGCAGTGCATACACTCATCTATCTCTTTCTCTCACTCGCACTACATGTTTCAGCATTATAATGCCATCTTCAGGTGCTTACNCAAGACACAACAAAAGCACAACACACACACAATAGTGAAGGAGTGCTCCAACAGAGGAGGATGGGCGTGACTGGCGTAGTGAGGTGCGACGTAGCGATGAGGAATCCTGAACAATTTTAATATTTTTAACGTTTGACATGTGTCAATGTATATGATAGATATATATTTTAGTTATTTTAATGTGAGGACAAGGCATGCAATGAACTAGTTTGGCATGGATTGAGTAAGCACCTGAAGATGGCATTTTTATGCCGAAACATGTAGTGTGAGTGAGAGTAGGAGATAGATGAGTGTATGCACTGCAAGACGGTTTAAATAAATCATGGACTTAAATCAGTGCAACAGGACGCTAAAATATAACGTAGAAATGTATTGCACATCTTAACCTAACATGAACTGACTCTATGGTCAAGAGTTTCTTGAAAAGCTGATAATTTCTTAGTTTAAGTTTCTGTCTTCTAGAATTTAACCAACTGTCTCATTGTTTTTTCTTCAATGTCAGTTTCTATAAGCCATCCTGGCTGTTTTTATATCTCACACTGTTCATAGATTATCTTGACGTTCAGTAAAATTGTCAGTTTAAGTGCTGATACAATACAGTGCATAAACTCTTTTTGTACATGTTCAGACTTGCAGCACACTCAGTAAACCCATAAACCAAAATATAAACAAAACCTACTGAGGTTACAGCAGATACCAGAAATTGACCCTGTTGTTATGAATGCATTCCGTTTACCTCCATAAAATGTTCACATTCGTGCATTAAAGTTTTTTTTTTGGAGACAGAGTAAATTTGAAATTTGAAAGCTAAACTTTAAACCCCAATCTGCTCTATAAGGCATGAAAATGATTTTCAAGGGAAATGTTCAGGCCTGTCACTGAGTTCAGCCACTTTCTCTCCAATGAGCACCCAGTGTTTCAATTCAGTTCTTTTTTGTTTGATAAAGACCATGTCTGTCTAAACCTATTTACTGTTGTATGAATAAACATCCCCCCCCCACATTTAGAACTACAACATGGTGAAATGTATGTTGGAATCTTCTCCTTCCTTTTCACATGAGTGTCATATGCTAACTCTGATTTCAGTGTATAGCTGTCACATGACAATTCAATAGAAGAAGTAATTCAACTGACTGAATGTTTAATACAGGTGTAGGCGCTTGAGATCAAAGTTACTGGACACATAATGCATACCCTCACATCATGATAGCTGGTAACAATTTGTTAGGATAATATTGAGGAGAAATTATAATATGTATAGGGTTTTGGCTTGTCAGCTACACTTCAAGTCTGAACCTGTACAATATGAGCTGATCCTAGCAGCACATATCCCTCCTGCTGCACAGCCAAATTATTTGTTGCAGGCTCACAGATAATCTGCCTATACAAGAACAATGGATATTAATACTGGTAGAGTTACAGTATAATCCAGTACACTAAGAAACATGCCCCTTCAAGTGACTTGAGATTGAATTTAGAACCTGAAAATTTTTAAAATATAATCTTCAAGCATTCTACTTATCGTCCCATAGGTTGTATGTGGTTCTTGGATAAGCTGTTTTCTCCTCATGGTTCACTGCATTGCTGTCAGTTCTAAATTTCACGACTGGGCCTCTCGTATTAGAACCTTTAAATATGGTATTAGTGCTGGACAGTCTTGATAAGAAGTGAACATCAATGACTTAATTTCAGTTTTCTAGGTTAAAAACTAAACTCTGTGGTTTTAGTCCATAAGCGAACTATACCGACCAAGTGACCGCTGCTTGTCAGCGAAGTTAGTGCCAACTTTAATGGCTAGAGGGTGTCGTGGTCGGCGCAATGAATCCCCACGGCCGTTAATTTCGGTTTTATAGGCTGTAGTCACTATTTCCTTGAAATAGCTCCTCAGTTATCCTCTCGAGGCTGAGTGAATCCTGTTCAAGACCCACTACTTCTCAGAAAATCTGGTGGCGCCAGGAATCGAACCTTGACATCTGGATCTGTAACCAGGAACTCTGACCACTAGACCGCAGAGGCAGACTAGTTTTCTAGTTTAATTCACCAAAATTCATATGTTTACTCACAAAAATCTATTAAAGTAGCAAAATTTCCAATAATGTATGATTTAATAAAGACCTATAGTATTTGAGGTTCTCACAGCAGTGGTCATGAAGAGTTTTGTCTCATTGGATGTAATTCTGCGTAGTTCATTGAAAGTCAACCAATATTTCAGTGGAACTTGTTGCCCCCATCTCTGCTTTCAATGGACTACCTGGCTTTATATCCCAGAAGATAGAACTCTCAATAGTGACCTGTTGAAATAGGTTTACAGAATAATGTTTAATAACAAGACCAGTATATTGGACTCCTTCAGATCCCACTGAACATTGTGTTATTGTTGCAGATTCTCACTCAAACATTATTAAAACATTGCATATCCTTAGAAGGTTACACTATGCCCTGTGATATCCAGTTATTCTCATGTGTATACTTTTCACTCTCCCGTAATTTTCTTTCTTTGTTCATGATATTTAAAGTCTTGCCCTTGAATAAGATAAATGGTTCCACTTCTGATTCATAATTATGAATAATTCGTCCTATGCAACTTCCCACCAGGCTGATCATTAAGAAAGGGGTGCAGAAGTCAGAATTGTAGTTTATGTATTTTCCTACCAATGTTCAACCCTACCTTCATTCTTTTTTCATCGCTCATAGTGTGTAATTATCAGGCTGTGTGGGATGGTACAAGTAGCTGGTGATGTCACCCAGCCAGGAAGTTCCATTTGTCTCTCTGTATATGAATGACAATCTTATAATAAATGAATGTTAATATTTTAAGTTTAATAGGTGTACAAGCATGTTTGCATGTTTCAGGTGGCTATGGGTCAGTGTTCCTAAATAAAGCAAGGCAACTTGAAGCATGTAGCTTCTCTGAAATAGTAGAATTTCCATTAGTCCTTGGACGAGATTTCTCAGGCAGGGTTTTTGCAAAAGGGCTAGGAGTTGGACATGATATAAATATTGGAGATGAAGTTTGGGGAGCCCTTCCTCCACACCTACAAGGCTGTCATGCACAGTTTGTACGAGTTAATAAGACTTTGGTGAGTGAATATGCTGACTTAATCATGTGTTTAACCTTTATTTTGAGAAATAGGGAGGTAGCTAATTTTAACATGGGGAAGATGGTATTGAGGAAATGCAGCAGTCCTGAATCCGGGCCTTGCATATTCACCATTACAATAGTGCAATATCATTCAAAAAGTTAAGATACAAACTGAAAATGGCTAGAGCAGTTGGGTTACTGGAGTGTGGGTTTGCAGAGATAATGTGAAAATGAAATATTCAGTCCAACAAATGAACTATCAGAGTAACTTCTAACATACAGTCTAAGAACGTGTAGGGACCTCTTGGGCAGGAAACAGTGTAGACTGGTGAGTGGACTGCTGTATGACGACTGTTCACTTAGGTAGCAACTAAATTCTGTGGATCCCTTAGAAAGTGATGTGCAAGAAACATGAGTAGCAGGAGGGACCTCCCTGTTGTATACTTTCTCAATGCCCATCTATAGCTAGGCATAGAATAGAGATCTTCAGTTGTGCCAGGTCAAAGCCCTAGATATCAGGACGGTCTCAGTCATGATAGGTCTGGCCTCTTTGTAGGAAGGCCCTAAGAAGATCAGGAATGCACAGTGGACCCTATTAGAGGTCTGAATGCTTCAGGAGATTGAAGTACCCCCTCCCCCTCCACAGTTGAAGATTTGGTGAACCAGTGCAACTTGGCACTATGAAAAATATCATTTGTTTGATAAAAATAATGAGAGATTTGATGATATACAAATGAGGTGATGTATATTTCCAGACTAGGGTATTGTTTCTTCTGGGGAGTTTTGGATCAGCCTGCTCTTTTCATAGTTTCAACCCACATCTGGGTATGTAGTGCAGGTACCATTATATTCCTGAATTTACCATTAGTGTAGTTTCATTTAGGGCAGTGGTCTCCTTAAGTTATTGATATTTAATCAAAACCGTTGGAGCCGTTTTCAAGAAAACTTCCTCTCCTTGGGGGGTTGGGGAGTGGGGTGCAGCCATCTCAGAGGCCTCTGTTTTGGTACTAGAATGTTCATGTGCGCTGGGCACTGACCTGTGATGGATAAACTGTGAAATACTGAGTATGAATAAAATCTGTACAGTCATTCAAATATTGGTGAGGGGCATATGCATACAGTCATAGACAGTCAGGCACATTTCAAAAAACCAGCGTTTTCATATTCAGGGATACTGAAAACGTGTAACTCCATCATAATCTTGAGATCAATTTATCTCACCGTCACAGTACTTTCTCGTATAATAGTACAAGGTGACACAGAAAAACGGGAACTTTTGGCAAACAAAAATAGAATACATGCAACAACAACAAAATTTATTGACAGTAATTGAACCACTACAACTTGCCTTTTAAGAAACAACAATCCAAATTATCAATTTCTGAAAATTACGTCCTGCAGATGGCTTCCTTGTCTACGTATACATTCTCCTAATCTGTTGTTCAGGTTCCCCACTGATCGCTGCAACATCTCAGCTGGGATACCACGAATTTCTTCTTCAATTCTTTGTTTCAATTCATCCAGTGTCCTTGGCCGAGTCGTGTAGACCCGACTCTTGAGGTAGCCCCACAAGAAAAAATCACAATCTGATAAATCCGGTGATCTTGGGGGCCAAGGAATGTCACCGAATCTTGAGATGACACGATTACCAAACAATTCTCGCACAGCTGCAATTGATTGCCTTGCAGTGTGCGATGTCGCACCATCCTGCTGAAACCAGGTTTCGTGAAGTTGTGGGAAATTGTTCAATGCAGGTGCAACAAAAGTTTGCAACATCTCAACATACCGATCCGAAGTGACAGTCACTGTGATCCGGTCTTCATTTTCGAAAAAGTAAGGTCCGATGTCCCCGTGTGACGAAACTGCACACCATACTGTGACCTTGCTGGCGTGTAAAGGGCGTTCATGAACTTCTTTAGGGTTGTAAGATGGAAATGGGCCTCATCTGACATCCACAGCTTGTCCAGAAATTCATTGTCCTCGTTTATGTTTGTCATAATTTGCTGACCGAATTGTAATCGCAACTGGTGATCGTTCTCCTTCAGCTGTTGCACAATTTGCAGCTCGTACGGATGAAAATTTAATCAAAACGGAGAATTCGGCGAACACTCTCTCGGAACACTCTCTTGGAACACTCTCTTGGAACACTCTGGCCGCAGCTGCTTGCTTACGAACTGAACGCCATCGGCTCTGTAAGACTAAAACGCGTACAGTTTCGATATTCTGTTCAGTATGAACACTTCTTGGTCATCCTGTCGGTTTCTTTTGCAGAGCAGATCCAGTCTCTTCAAAGTTTTGAGACCAAGTTTTTATCATGCGTTTTGAAGGAACGCGACCATGATGCCCTAATTTGAAAAAGCGATGGAACTCCCTCTGCGCACCTTCCAAACTATCATCGGTTTTGTAAAACATTTTTATCGCGAAAGCACGCTGTCTACCGTTCCACTCCTCCATTATTACTGAATGGCGTGATTGTTTACAGCTCACAGTCCCACTTCCGTAGTGCTGCTAACTGTACATGGCTGCCACCACGCACCTCAAAAGTTCCTGTTTTTCTGTGTCACCTTGTACTTATATGAGGAAGTCTAAATCGGTTACATTATGTATCATTTTTTTACAGTGGCTGTTCTGGTCTATTCAAGACCCAGGCCTCTTATTCAGTACTGTAATCATTTTTCACAAACAGTACGACTCCTTGGGCAAGTGATCAGCCCATCACAAGGCCGCTACCTAAACACAAACACAGAATAAACGCATATACACATTGAACATCCATGCCCTGAGTGGGATTCAAACCCATGATCCCAGCATTCAAGCGAGCGAAGACAGTTCATGCCTTAGACCAAGTGGCTACTGTGACCAGCCACTTTATGTATCATAAGTATTAAAATCAAATATTTGTACATCTCTGTGTCTGTAATGACCTCAGATTCTTGTTCATATTACAACTCAGAAATGAACATCGTCATGAAAATGCTATATGCAGCAGTTTATTCCACTCCATGAGTGGCTGATACAGTGCTTTTCAAATTTATTCCAGTGTATACATCTGCCATGTCGACTTCTAGTCATTGAATGACATCCTCTATGAAAAGAATTTTGGTTCTTAATGTTTTATGTGGTCGGAAAGACTAGATAAAGATAGAGCTTGTATTGTACATATGTACAATGTATGAATTTGGCAAATTATGACCAAAAATATAAATTGTAAAGGTAGAAAATGCATCTTCTGGAAGCTTCTGATGTTGTAATACTATAACAACTTTACACAGTTAACTTACACCACCATTTTTATGTGATTTCAATAACCAAATACTTAAACTGGAAGGAGGAGGAGGAGGAGGAGAAAACTAGTGTCATATGTTTTTTTTTTAATTATCTGTGTTGACAAATACATTGGAGCTGCAAAATTTCTTTGCATCAGCCAGATTTTTACATAATATACTTTCATCCAAGCACATTTCATTCAGTCCAACTAGTTTCATGGGTATATAAATTTCACAGAGAATACTGTACCCTACTTGTTCTAGAAAACTGAGGTTAACAGCCGTGGGGATTCGTTGTGCTGACCACACGACACCCTCTATCTGCTAAAGTTGGCACTAACTTCGCTGATAAGCGGCAGTCGCTTGGTTGGTATAGTTTGCTTGTGGACTAAAGCCACAGAGTTTTTTTTTTGCTGTACCTGACTTCCCTCCTGAGCCACAAGCACTGGAGGATTATCTGTTGTATGAAAGTCTGTATTCATTATTATGAAATGGTTGTGTAAATGACATTGGTCTGAAGGACAGAATAAGGGTAATAGAATTTTGATGTTTTATGACCACTGCATAAAATTGAGTATGTTTTCTAGGTACATAAAAAACCTCACAATGTGACTCTAGTGGAAGCAGCGTCTGTTCCATATGCTGCCATGACTGCATGGTCAGCCCTGAAGGTGACGGGTGACTTGTGTTTGAGTCCTGCTAAAGGCAAGCGAATGTTGGTTCTTGGTGGTTCCGGAGGGGTTGGTACAGCAGCAGTCCAGTTGCTGAAGGCATGGGGAGCTCAAGTAAGCAATTATAATAGTGTAGTATGATAGTTTTTCAAAATTTGGTGTCACTTGTGCAGTTTCTCTTCCGTGTCTAATGCAAATGTTGCGTTATAGACAGAAGAGAAACTGCACGAGTAATACTTCAGTGCAACAGGATGCTGAAATATAATATTCATGTCGCATCTTGTATGCATGATGTATCTATTGCTCAAAATAAGAACACAATTTTATAGCAGTTTCAATATCACGTAGCTCACAAGACCATGTTTTTAATTAGTGTTAATGGCATATTGACAGAACAATGGAAAGAATATGGCTGGATCCTTATCGTTAAAGTGGCCTCCGTAGTCTAGGGGTAATGTTCCCACCTCATGACTCAAGGTACGCGGGTTCAAACCCGGCGGAGGTCGTGGAATTTTTAATGGCAGAAGAATTCAGGGAACAAGTCCTCCGGGAGGGACTTTAAGCTGTGGGTCCCGTGTCATAGATTTACGGCACATAAAAGATCCTCATGTCTCTAGGAGACCTCTGAGCAAAATTAGGCAACAATTTCCCGCCCAAGTAGTTTCCAATGCCTCTGGTAGATGGGGGAAATATCAGGTACCAACGGCCGACCTCATTGGCTGAATGGGGCTGATAGCACGCACCAGTACTGGTAGGGTATGGCGACAGTAGAAATTAAAGGGGGATGCACAATGGACCAATAACTGGTCTAAGTGCATGGGGAAACCCACCCCCTCTAATAATAATAATAATAATAAATCCATAGCCTTTCCATTTAACAGACACTCATAAGGTTCATATATATAAATCGGTCAAAGCTGGATTCTGTAACTGAAGTCTGTATGGCAGTGGACAAATCCAAGGGCCATAGCCACTTTAGGTGGCTTGAAAGAAAGACAACCTGAACCACACATTGTCCCTGCTGNGAAACATGTAGTGAGAGTGAGAAGAGGGGATAGATGAATGTATGCATTAAAAGACGGATAAAATAAAGCATGGAAGTAAACAGTAGTTTATATGATCTCAGAATGAACTGAACACAAAAATCACTCACTTCTTTGTATACTGAGGTTCATAACTGTTGCAGCAATGTAACATGAAACTCAGCTGTAGGAACCAGTACCTCAGTACCTTAGAGTCAGTACTCATCACATCAAATCTTATGCTTTCTCTTACTTCTTTTACTCTTTCTATAGCCATCAGGTAGATAATTGCATATACTGTATGTACTCACACTTGCTTACCTGTGCTTGCCCTCACTGAGATTACATATATGTACCAACACTCACAGGCAAAGAAAACCTGATGGTTGTAACAGCTACACTATTTTTGAAACTTGTAGCATGCACAGTGGTTTATATACACGAAACAATGTAAAACCGAATTTCAGCAAGAACTGGAGTCATTCGGGTTTTGCTCTGGACCCCTTAATTGTTTGTACTGAGAGCATAATAAAACCCTGCCTTTTCTCAGATCTAGTGCTTCACCTAAAATGTACTGCCCTGATGTTTAAGGGGCCCATACACATATGAGTCTGGCTCGCGAGTCCGGCTTGGCGAGCTTGACTCGGAAGCCAGGCTCGGATTAATTTCACCACAGACACATGAGCTGACTCCCAACTTTGCGACCCACACATGGATCGGTTTGGCTCATTGGAACCCGAGCCAAGTTGGACTCGCGAGCCAGATCATACGTGTATGAGCCCCTTAAGTCTGCAGATATTCATTTCATGGCTACAGTTTTTTTTTCTTTTTTTGACAATATTGCATTGCACATTTCTGATTCAATTAAAAAGAGTATTATCTGTTATTTACTGTTCTGTCCGTCAGGTTGTCACAACTTGTCGTCCTGATGCAGTTTCTCTGTTGGAATCTTTCGGAACAGACTGTGTTATTGATTATACACACCCTGATGCAGAGAAGCAGATCAGGGAAGAGGGCAAGTGAGTGTCATGGCTGTATGATAAAATAATAACTGCATTGAAGTGTAGTCTGTATTACTAAATGCAACTAATTTGTGATAAATGTAAATATTTTCATCTCATGTATCTCCAAATCATTGGTTACTTTTATTTAACCTTGCACGTAGAATAGAATTACTTCAGTATCATCCTCAGATACTGGAAAGAATCAGTGCAGTAAATATTATATTTCTATTGGACCAAGAACAAACATTTCTTTTTGTCAACCAAATCAAATGACCAGTCAGAGTTTATGGATAAGTATGTGAAAGCCTACCACAATGCATCTCCAGGCCACCTACCATCTTCTGGTTGACTGGCAGAGTGAAGCAAGCATTAACCAATCAGCACAGACCACAGCAGTGCCAATGTCCATGGACCGGGTACTGCTAGTAACCGTGGATAAAGACGCAAACCACATCGCACTCGCATTCAGTTGGAGATACTCCTACCTCGAGACAGCTCATCTGGAGCACACACAGCAACATCAAGTCTCCTAGCAGCAACCCCATCACCCGACTCAAATAGCAGTCGCCTAGACCCATGGGGCAGACCACCACCGGTACTTGCCACCTCATGACCAGCTCACAGTCACCTAGCTGCCAAACAAAGTGAACCACCATTGCTAGCACAAGCTGGCCTCCTGAGGCTGGAGCTTTGCTGGCATTCATCAGGCACACCCTGCTTTAGAGTTATGGCCCATCTCACTCTGCTTGCCTTCTTACATGTATCCTGTTCTTGTAACAGCAACACATATACATCTGTTGTAGAAGTTTATGTGGTTGGCTGTCCAAGTACCGGAACTGACATCCCACAAGTATATGAAGGAATTATGTAAATGCAAAGCAGAAGCTTTGTGTACATGGAAATATTTTAGGAAATGGTCATCGGGTCAAAACTACATTTATTGATAAATTTCTGGTTCCCTCTATAACACATCTGATATATGTGAACCTGAACTCTATGCATTTCCACTCTCACCTATGTGCCCCACCTGTCTCATCCCCCCCATTGACTCAATTAACTCTGTGGCTTTAGTCCGCCAGCAAACTATACCAACCGAGCGATCACTGCTTGTTGGCGAAGTTAGTGGTAACTTTAGTGGATAGAGGGTGTCACTTGGTCAGTGCAACGAATCCCCACGGCTGTTAATTTTTTGGTTTTCTAGACCAGAGCTGCTACTTTTCCATTCAAGTAGTTCCTCAGTTATCCTTTCGAGGCTGAGTGGACTCCAGTCCAGACCCACTACTTCTCAGAAAATGTGATATTGCCAGGAATCGAACTAGGGACCTATGGATCTCTAGCCAGAAACTCTGACCACTAGACCACAGAGGTGGTCCATTGACTCAATTACCTTAGTTATATTTGGTTAAGAGTAAAAATGATAAGACTGCATGTTGTGCCACTTTCTCCATCCACATGAGACTTTCGCCCTCTTAGGCCCAGGTATGTTCCTGCGCACCTGCTTTCAAACACCCTTAGTTTATGTTGTTTCCTTAATGTGAGAGATCAATCTTCACACCCATCAAAAGCAACAAATGAAATTATGGTTTTGTATGATTTTAATCTTCATATAGTCAGATAGCAGACAGGAAGGCAAAACATTCTGAAATGAGTGATAGCAAGAAGTATTCTCCACATTGAATCTTCTCTCAATTTCTTCGTAAATGTAGGTTTGGTTTGTTAGTGTCATTCCAAAATACTTGATTTTGCCATATTTTTTAAGGATTCATTAGGTGTCTTTGTATTATGAATTTTGGCCGCACCGTAGCTCAAGTGGTTAGTTAGTTGCTGGCTTCCCACTGCGGTGGCCAGGGTTCGATCCCGCATCTGGTCAAGTGGGACAAAGTGGCGCTGGGGCAGGTTTTCTCCCATTACTTCGGTTTCCCCTGCCAATCTTCGTTCCACAAATTGCTCCACAATCACCCTCACCTATCATCTGGGGCTGGCACAATAGGCCAGAAGTGGCCGCAGTACAAGGGACTTAGTCCCGCCTCACTAGCAATAAAAAAAATTATGAATTTTTCTGCATTCTGGCTACAAGACAAGACCATGTGTAATGGAATTACAATTTAATTTTTTTCACTCACTTAACATTAATGTCAATGTTCCCAAGACAGTAATGTAAGTGTATAGTTCCCTCCATTTGAAGTTTTCCTCAATTTGGTGTTCAAATCCTTTACTCCTCAGAGAAATGTTTTAAATGGTGGTTTCACTTTACTTCATTTTCTCTGTGCTCTAGATGAACCTCCCTGCCAGTGGCTGATAGTGCATCCATTTTTTTTATCGTGTTCACGTTTTCAGCCTAACAAATTAACATCACCAGCATTAGTCAAAAGTTCATATGACCCATTTTTCTTCAGCCTTCATAATGACATATTCTAAAGCAAGTTTTCGGTTACTTTTGTACAGTTCAGTATATTTTCTTCTCTACTTTTCTACAGATACTGCAAAATACAGTTCTTCCTTGATCAAATTTTATTGAGACGTTTCAGTTTTTACACAAGGAATATTTCCCTAAAATTTACACTTTAGAACTCCATATATAGGTTCCACAAACTTTATATGTACCATATGATATTCTCTGACAGTTTGTCTGAAATAAAACTAACCAACTCCACAACTGCCATCTAGTAGAAATCACAGAAAGACACTTATGTCCTTACACATCATTTGAAAAGACTTAGAGGAAAACTGGTAAACCAGCCAACACACTGACATAAGATTATGTCTCTTTTGTATGCATTTGATTCTAAGTGGACTAATGGGAGAAACTGTAATCAGGATTGACTTTATAAAAGTAATAAAGCAATAATTTTTGTAACAATTTAATTTATTTCATATTGAAGAAAGCAGTTTTCTGGGATGTGGTACCGTGTAGATGTGGTGTTAACCGACGTTTCGTTTCTTACGGTCTCTTCGCTTGCAGATTTCTTATTTTTCCTTCTACCCTGAAGATGGAGGCGATACGTTCCGCCTAAACATCGATTAACAGCACATCTACATGGTGCCACATCCCAGAAGACTGCTTTCTTCATAGTCACCGCTGTGAAAACCTCAAATCTTACATTATTTCATATTGATTAATATTTATGGTTTAATTTTTTCTATTTGTTAGATATAACATCATCTTGGATGCAGCAGGTCTGGGTGCAGATGCAGGGCCAAAATATGCAGATTGTCTAAAAGACTGGAACCTTTCAAAGTTCATCACACTGAGGTCTCCAATGTTACGAAATATTGATGAGCATGGCATGGTTGTTGGTATGATGAAGAATGCAGTGGATCTGGCAGTCACAAACGTGAAAACAGGTCTCACAAGTCAATGTAGCACTGTTAGATGGGGATTCTTTCTTCCATCATCAGATGCAATTAAAGAAATTACTGCATTAGTGGAACAAGGCAAGGTAAGTGCATGAGCTTGTTCACTGCTTCGTAAAGAAACTCTTGATCTCCTCGTTTGCGGACAGTGGATGTGGAGGAAAGAAGAAGTCAGACTGAAAGGCTGTAGAACTCAGTATTTAACATTTCTCCATTCGGAGTATGAGCCATGACAATTCAGTCAGGAAAGTGACTAGCTGCAGTTTGGATGACCAGGGTTCAGTTCCTGGCAGAAACTATTTTTATAATCTTTCTGTTGTGCACACAATATGTGTAGACTCACCCAGCTTCCTATCCAATGGGTATCATGAATATTTCCAACTAAAATTTTGTATACAATTATTATTTTCCTCATCCATACAGCATACCGTATTTTTCATAACCTTTTTGATTTAAGCAGTATTAGGAGAAGAAGAAAAACATTAGAAGTTCTTTATTATGTAAGTTTCCTGTTTTCCTTCTTAGTGCATTTTGTACAAATCTCGGAAAAATTGCAACAGAGACCATAGCAATGATTGGACAAGTGTTCGTGGAAGAAAACATGAGCCGTACATGGGTGTTTGAATGACATGCTTGGTTCAGGGCCAGTTGGACATCCATTGAGGACAACCAACACATGGATAGGTCTTGGCAGGCTAAACAGTCAATTCCAGATACTACTATGATGTTTTACAGTGACTGCATGAAAATGTGCAAAGACTTCTCTCCAAACTTTGGCGTCAAAAGAACTGGCTGCTGCATCACGACAACACACCATCTCACACTTCCTTTTTCACAAGGGAATTTTTAACCGATAACAAACTGACTGTCATCCCCCACCCACCCTACTCACCTGACTTGGCCCCCTGTGACTTTTCTCTGTTTCCCCGATTGAAGATAAAACTGAAAGGCCGTCATTTTGACACAATTGTGGTGATCAAGTCAGAATCACAGGCAGTGCTGAACACCCTCACAGAACATGATTTCCAGGGTGCATTTAAAAAATTGCAGAAGCACTGGGGATGGTGCATATATGTGGAAGGGGACTACTTTGAGGGTGATGGTGGCCAGTAGCCCCAAAGTTAGTTTTTGACCAGATGGCAGCCCCAGTCCCAGAAATTATGGATACCAGTTGTATATACCCCATATAACATCACTAATGTGTGAGGGCTGTTGAAATTGAACCTGTTCAGGGATCATTCTGGGCAAAGGAGTAGAGGCCACCAAAATTAGGTCACATGTTGTGTTGAGCCAGTGGATTTCCGCTACACTGAATTTAATGGGCTGCTGCTGGAACCACTGCACAACCATGGCCTTGACATTTTCATTTGGCCCAAATCTATGTCCTTTACTTCTTTCTTGAGAGGGCAAACAGGTTTTGTATGAACAGCCTTTTTATCTCATATACTACTTCCATTGACTCACTTTGAAGACAGCATCTTTTTGAAGTGGACATACTATATGTGATGCACTATGTGCATTTGCCAATTTTGTTTTCTTTATGACTGCCTATGTAATTACTTTTTATATTCTTTTTTTTTTTTTTTCAGATATCCCCAGTTATTGAGAAAATATTTCAATTTTCAGAGTTACCAAAGTCATATGAGAGAATGAAATCAGGTCATTTGAGAGGCAAAATAGTTATCAACATAGGTGAAGAGAAGTATTCTTGAACTGCTCCACAAACCAGAATGCATCATCGTCAGTTAGTGACATGCCAGTATGTCACCATCAGATAGTACTAGATTCTATTTTCTACATATTCTTGCTATGTATACACTGGTGGGAAATTCTGTAATACCGGTTTAATATCTTTTGCTTCAAATGACATTGGGTATGCATGAATGATGTCGAGGTACCATGAAATCTATGTATGTATACAATATTGTGAAATTATATTAATATACTGTATTATTTTTACTGAGAATTACATTATTACTTTGGTTTAGAAGTAATACTTTTCTCATATGTTAAATTTGCAGGATGTCTCATAAACATGACCAGTATTTCAACTCAATTTCCACACACCACAAGCACACAACTATTATTAGTTATAAGTGTGAAATGTTTAGAAAATTTTCATCATTCTAGTCTTTGTATTATATACAAAGACTTTAGTGTTATACTTGTGAATGTCAGAATAATGAGTTGTGTAGATCTTGTTCTTTTTTAAAAAGAAGTTACTGTTAAAACCTTAAAACCACCAAACATACTTCTGCAAGACACCCTGCTTTTAACTCTTTTAATGAGTCTTAGACCTTTTTTCTGTATTTTAAAGACTGCATTACTGTTATTTATTCCCCCCCAAAATATAATACCATATTTCAGTATAGATTGAGATGTAGTAAAATAAACATTTCTTCAAAGGGTGATGCTTAATTAATTAAGCACAAGGGCATTACATTACATTTTCTATCCAGTATTTTCTTGGAGGGACAGAAGAAAACCATGAACAACCTGACTAAGGACAGTTGATATCCTAGCTGAGCACCACCAAAATGGAAGTCTAGAGTGAGTGTTCACACTGATTCCTCACTTGCAGATTTTTATACCCTTAAGTTGTAGGCGATACGTTCCTCTGAAACGTCAGTTTACACAATATCTACGTGGCGCCACATCCCAGAAGACGGCATTCTTCAAGTCTAGAGTGTTACTCCTATAGCTACCTGATATTACATACACATGCATGCATACATATAAAGTGACCCTCAGTTACCATCTAGAGTTCATCACTGATGATTTTTCATATATGTTAAAGATCACAGAGAAAGTGGTGCTTTCTAGAAGCTTAGAGAGACTAAAATAAAATAAAACTAGACACATTTTTATTGGTTTTTATAAATGAGATGTTAAGTAGTCACACATTTCCAACTGATGTTGGAGAAAATGGTCCCTACTCTTGAGCAGTCGTTTTATACTGCCAGGATATATGGCTATCTTGAAATAATCATGGGTTATTTGAAACTGAAATATAAAAGTCTTTGCATGAAAGGTCTCAGAGTGTCTCCAACACTTTCGGTGCTTTGATGATAAGCTTCGTTGGGCAGTCGTCCGTGACAGGCCTTGTTTGTATTGTAAGTATATTCGCAGTGTGTGTGTGTGTGTATTTTTTACACCTGTATGTAATCATTAGCTGGACCTGTGGCACAGTAGTTAACCTTTTTACCGATTGTTTCAATGTTTCTCTATATCTGCGAGTAGGTGGCAGCATCATTCATGACGTCATAGAACGGGTTTCGTTCTAATTGATTTACCCATGTGTTGCTGTTTTGTTTCTGTGTTTTGGTTAATGTTTAGACGAAGATGGTGCTTACAGTTGGCAGACGTTTACATATATTGAATGAATATTCCTCGCGTTGTTTAAAGCAGGTTAGAAGAAGTCATGCCACTGAAGTAAGTACATGAATTATAAGCCGGTTTCTTCATTTGTCATTCTTAACCTAAAATAATGCAAAGCATTCAGTAAAGAGGTGTTTTTTGTGTATGTGTGCGTAGGATGTACAAACGCAGGAATAATGAGTTTTAACTTTCTGAGCGATATAATGCTACGAAATGTTGGGTGACTTTCACTGGACTACACGGAGTTCCTAGAACATACAACTCTTCATAGCCATCCAAAACTTACGAATGTTTCAACGTGTTGAAATACATGCTCCATGAATTTTAGTACAATTGCAAAATTTTTGTAGAAGAGCACTAAAGTGTGCAAGTATTTTATTTTACTTGAAGACATTTTTAAATATTCACTTCAGCATATTCATAGATTAATAGAGAAGTAAGGTAGTGATTTAAACCAGTACAATAGCTTTTACTTTAAAATTACAGACATTCAAATGGTCACATCGTGTGTTTTCTGGCATCCAGCCTACAGGGTCAATGCATTTAGGAAACTATTTTGGTGCTGTTCAGAAATGGGTTGAAATGCAGAATGCTGGGGAATCCGTGATTTATAGTATTGCAGATTTACATTCAATTACACTTCCTCAAGTAAGTAACACCAACATTCATAACTTGGAAGATAGACATTGTATGCATAACAGAGCTTACATTGTTATCTGATGATTAATGAATATGATGCACTTGGTGGAATCAGAATTTGCAGAGGAAACTGAAGTACTTCAATATCCAGTCCGGTTTCCGGACAATGGATCTGTGAAATTATGTGTCTATGTATGTATAAAGTACCCCAGTGCCTTTTTGTGCACTGCAGATCCCATATAACCTGACACTGGATTGAACCTGGGCTGCCATGGTGGGAGGCCAGTAACTAATTGCTTAAGCTGTGGTAAGGCCCTTTATCTACTTGTGATAGGCTGTAATCTGAATTAAATTGTGTGAGGAATGTACACTGTTAGGTATTATTTAAATTTAATTTGATAAATGATGATATGAAAATGGTACTAGCATGAAAAAGATCATTATATTCATGACACAGAACTGTGTCCTTAGATAAAAGTGTAGGGTGGTAATTATACATGTTATTGATTATTAACAAGAACTGTCAACACAAACATTAACTTCTGTATAGGGCCTGTTTTACAATAAAATGTACACTACATGTGTTGACCATTCCTGGTCATCATCGGGTGGGAATTCGAATATATAAATGATGCATTTCTGAATGTTGCACGTTGTAAACTCATTGTAAAATAGATTCATCATAATGAAGTTGTACATTTTGTAATATTATTATAGAATTACAAGGTTAATGAGGTGGGTATTTCAGTTGTATTAAATTCCATAAAAAACATATGTAGAGATGTATAAAACTGTGGAGGAAAATACAAGGTGAATTAAAAAAATGAGGGCAATTAATTTTTTTCTTTATTGTGTTAAAGCAAACAAGAACAAACATTCCTTCATTTTTCAACATAAACTCCAAGCTTCTCCATTCGTTTGTTCCTTCAGCACGTGTTTCTTTATATCATATGCAAAGAATGTTTTGTGTTAAGCATGAAGCCAATTACGCACTGCATCTTTGACCCCTTTATCATTTGCAAGTCTGTGTCTGTGTAACACATGTATGACTAGTCAGAAAGTTTGGTAATCAAATAGGATGAGGTCTGGGCTGTAGCTGGGTGAAGAAGAAGTTCAAATTTAAATTTTGGAACCATTTCAATGATTGCTGCTGCCATATGAGGTCAAGCATTGTCATGATGCAAAACAACTTCTTTTGACACCATACCTCTGTGTTTACCACAAATAGCAGAACTCCTCGTCAAGCACAGCACACCACCATCAGTATCACCTCACCAGCAGAAGGCATACATTTGAATTTCTTGGTCCTGGGTGATTACATGTTTCCACACAGTGCTTTGACATTTGCTGGCAGGTTCATAGTGGTGCACTCATGCTTCTGTTGCAGAAAAACCTCACCTTCATGCTATTACTGCAAAAACTGCATGCATGTTTCCACTCTTACCTATTTGTGCTCATCTGTGAGTTGCTTTGGCACACACCTTGCGCAAATTTTGCAGCAGCCAAGGTTGTCACGGATGATGGAATATGCATACCCATAGCTGATGTTCAACTACTCAGCTATATCAGCGATGTAACTGAGCTCTTCTCTTGAATCAGAGTGTAAACTCATTCAACATTGCCATTTATGAAGTGGACACAGCTCAAGTGGTATTCATGAGCAGTGCTTGTTCTGCCACTTTTGAACCTCTCCATCCATGGAATACCTTCCGTTCCATCACACATTTTTTTCTGTATTGTGCTAAAAGTCTACTGTTTATCTCAGAAGGTTGTGCCCCCTCTGATTAGAAAAATCAGATGACATCACATTGCCCAACAATGGTGCATTCTGAAAAGAGCCAACGTGTTTACACAATGATTGTACTTACTTCATGGAACATAATGACTTCCCCATAGAGCACTGCCTGAAAATTTTCCAGGATTTTACATAAAAATGGTTCTTTTTAATTAATCTCATACAGTGCGTACAATCAAGTGCGCGCCGCGGCTGCAATTTGCCGTGAGTCATACCACCGCAGAACGGATGCAACTCCTCCCCGCGACTGCAGTGCTCCTACGCCGATGGTTNATACTGAATCCCTTCTTCGATCAGTTGAATGCCGAAGAAAGACAATACGGGTATTTTCAGCAGGACAACGCTACAGCACATACGGCTAATGCATCCATGGTCGCAATACAGGAAGTGTTTGAAGACAGAATTGTCAGTAGAGGACTGTGGCCTCCCAGATCCCCAGATCTCAGTATTTCTGATTATTATCTTTGGGGCAACCTGAAGCAAAAAGTCTACAAAAATAATCCCCGCAGCATTGATAGTCTTCAAAATGAAATTACACGCGTAATTCATTCAATTACCGTCGACGAACTGCAGAGAGTGTCGCGTAATTTATTTGTGAGATGCGCGGCATGTTTGCAAGCAGAAGGAGGTCACTTTCAGCACCTGTTATAAACCACGGTAAGTTATCTTTTTACTGTATCCTTATAAATGTGTGCATGTAGAGCAACTGATGGACGGAGACTCAGCGACACCACTACACTCACGCTATCGGGCGACGGCACTGCAGTCACGGGGAGGAGTTGCATCCGTTCTGCGGTGGTATGACTCACGGCAAATTGCAGCCGCGGCGCGCACTTGATTGTACGCACTGTACAATTAAAAATTAATGCAACTGGAGTACAGTGTACACAAGTTTGTGGATTTTTCTTTTTAGGACCCAAAACATCTTCACTCAAACATCCTTCAAATTACAGCAACATTATTAGCCTGTGGTATAGATCCTGACAAGAGTATACTTTTCCAGCAATCACGAGTGAGTATTTCTGTGCTTAGAGCTATTGCACGTACAGTGAGTAGGAAGACAGGAGTATCAGCTTGGAATTGCAAGAAAGTATCCAAAATACTTAATCATGCCAGCACAATCAACAACATCACTGACTGTAGATTTGAGTGGCTTGGGGTTTGACTTCTGGTAAGGAAATTATGAATATTTCACTATACTGTTTGCATCCAGAATGGCTGGGAAATCTTCCTTCCTTAGTAATAAAGTGGTTGGAAGAACAACCACTCAACTTCTATTGATCAGAAACTACGCCTTCCAAACCCAGTACAGATAATAACCCATATTCATTCCTATATCCATAATTACAGGCAGATGACAGTACAACATTTTTCTGTTTTTAGATACCTGAACATACTCAGTTGTGCTGGACACTTGGATGCCTTACTACAATGGCAAGGCTTGCACACATTCCAACATACAAAGAGAAGTCTGCAACAGTGAAAGAAGTACCTTTGGGTTTGTATGTATATCCGGTTCTGCAGGCTGCTGATATATTACTTTATAGGTTAGTTTTCACGTTTCCTACAAGATGGTTCTTCCATAATTCTTACTAGTTTTGAGTGCTCTACATTTCAGTTATGAATTCTTGATAAGTAATATTTTGCATGGTCATAAATTTGAGCACCCTGATGTGCCAGTTTACTATATTATATTTAAGCATCCTATTACATTCCACACTTCTATATGTAAAATATAAACTCCATCGTAAATGAAACACTTTATTGTAGTTCTTGTCCCCCTTCTTTCACACTACATGTTTCTGCTGCAACGGGCCATCATCAGGTGTATTTCACTTCACGTAGCTGTCACACTGCACTCAATATATGTTAGCATTGCAGTGTAACAGTTTCCGTTTACAATTCATATATTTATATATGCTTCTTGTGTGATTACTGTTTACTATATTATATTTAAGCATCCTGTTACATTCCACACTTCTATATGTATAATATAAACTCTGTCGTAAATGCAACACTTTATTGTAGTTCTTGTTCCCCTTCTTTCACACTACATGTTTCGGCCGCAACCAGCCCTCGTCAGATGTATTTCACTTCACGTAGAGGGACAAGAACTACAATAAAGTGTTGCATTTACAACGGAGTTTAGATTGAGACAGCTTCATGGTTGAGTAAAATGGGGCTGTGCTGTAGTATAGTGTGTGATAACACGGAGCTTAGTATAAATACTGCAGAATTTTCATTTTAGTTCCTCTCTGTGTTTCTGTGGGTTCATATTATGTTGTGAAGCTAGTTTCAGTTATTCATACCAAGTCAGAATTACCATACAATACAGTGGATGTAAGTTGCAAAAATATATCTTTCTTTCTTTCAAATATTATATCTCCTGAACACTTCATCATAGGAAAGAGAGTTTCTGATCAGCATTGTTAATACAATAAATGTCCCATTGTCCGGCACGTATGGCAATTTGGGTAATTCTTCATAAAAACCACAGTGAAAACTCAAATCCTATGTGATTATCTCAAAGGCCGCACCATAGCTTAAGCGGTTAGTCGCTGGCTTCCCACTGCTGTGGTCTAGTGAAGTGGCGCTGGGGCAGCATTTCTCCGAGTACTTTGGTTTCCCCTGCCAATCCTCATTCCATCAAATTCTCCATAAGCATAATCACCGGTACAGGTACATAGGACATATGGAAGCCGATGTGCCGAGGGGACCTAATATGGATTCCACCTCACACTCTACGAACTCTAACTATTGTAATCTACTTTAATCTATTGTAAACAATTGTAAGTATTGTAACTTTACTCTCTTATTGTAATCCACCAATGTACAGTAACTGACTTGTCCTATATCATGCAACAGTGATCTGTAGAGAAAATAAATAAATAAATAGATCTGAATAGGTGCTGTTTAACTGTCACACTTCTAATTAGCCTTTATGAACTTTGAGAACAAGTTGGCCACTGCTGTACATGAATGTCTGAAAATGGCTCAAGTTCTGGAAAATCTGGAACATATTTTTGAAGTGTCACATGTATAGCCGTGTAATGAACAGCTTATATACATATCAGTTATTCACATAACCATATAATTTAACTGTGGTGTATAACATTCTCAGATTGTTCTGAATTTTCTTTAGAGCAACCCATGTTCCAGTAGGAGAAGACCAGACACATAATTTGGAATTGGTGCAGCATTTAGCCAAAATTTTTAACAACCGTTATGGGCACACTTTTCCCATACCAAAAGCAGTAGTTGCAGGTAATATTATTGTACTGTATTTTGCTAAATGTAGTACAGATATTTTTCCCCCAGTTATGTTTAAGAAACCAGGTCATTTAAACATTTTTGTTACAGTTATATGAGGTCTGACAAATAGACTGACAACACTGTAAAGCTTGAATCACTTTGTGCTCAGTTGCGAGTTCTGTCATCTACTGGTACATGTCTGAACTCTACATAGTAGCAGACTTGTCTTGGCAAATATAGTAAGTACAGAGCTGTTGTGCTTCTACTTATTGCTAGTGGGGTGGGACTAAGTCCCTTGTACTGTGGCCACTTCTGGCCTATTGTACCAGCCTGAGATGATAGGTGAGGGTGGTTGTGGAGCAATTGGTGGAACGAAGATTGGCAGGGGAAACCGAAGTACTTGGAGAATACCTGCCCCAGCACCACTTTGTCCATGACCAGACCCGGGATTGAACCCGGGTCGTCACGGATGGGAAGCCAGTGACTAACCGTTTGAGTTATGGTGTGGCCTGCTTTTACTTAAGTAGTGTTTGGATAGCTCATCACAGAAATGGGTGATAAATATTTTGAACAAGGAATCAACTTGAAATTTTTATTCAAACTTGGTAAATAAAACCAAACCAAAATCTCTTGAAATGTTAAAACAAATGTATGGAGAATAGGTGTACATGGTTTTCTGAAGGAAGGGACAAAGTTGAATTTAGTGGCTGACCTGGACATCTCACAACATCAGAATCAAATGAAAATGTCAAACATGTGAGAACTCTTATGCAGAATAATCAAAGTCTTGCTGTCAGAATAACTGTAGAAATGGATAACAGTAGAGACTGTATGATTGATTTTGACTAAAAACTAGAGGATGAAGAAAGTTTGGGCAAAGGTGGTCCCCAAGAACTCCAGTATTGACCAGTGTTAACTGAGGTGGGAATTTGTGCTGATCTGTAGTAGTGAATCAAGGATTATGACGAATAGATGAACAGACTCATCACTGGGGATGAAAGTTGGGTTTCTCAATCAGCCCCTGTGAAAAAACAGCAAGAGTGTGCAATGGAAATCTCCAGGCCCTTTTCCTCAAGAAAGTGTAGTTGTCAAAATCAGAAGTCAAGACTGTTCATTTGTTTCTTTGAATGCGAAGGGAAAGTGTGCCAAGACTCTGCCCCACATAGTCAGATGGTCAACCAAAAGAGTAATCTCCAAGTTTTGGGACATCTGAGAGTGAATCCATTGTGAGGCCAAAATTGTTCCCCAACAAGTGGACACCATGACAGTGTGCCCTCATCTGGAGTGCTTTCCATCATGCAGATTTTGGCAAAAAAAATTACCATTGTCTTGGAATACCATGCTTTCTTATGAGATCTCATGCTGTGTGACTTCTGCCTGTTCCTTACCTTGAAGAATCATCTCGAGGGATCAGGCCTTGAAACCATGGAGGAAATTCAGAAGGTTGTGATGGCTGTTCTAAACAACTTTCAGAAGAATTACTTCTGAAGGTGCTTTGACAGTTTGAAACAGTGCTGATATTCATGTACAGCTGCAGAAGGAAATGACTTGGAAAAAAGACCAGTGCAGTTCAGAATAAAATTGATACAGTGTTCTATTTATCAGACCTTGTATTACTGTACTTCTTTGATATGCGTCTTTAAGATGATGACCCTAATTTCAGTGATGAACTTAACATATAACTTTCCATGTAATGTTTGGAAATGGCTTTAATATTAGTAGGCTATATTATTATTTTGAAACTTTTCCAGTTTCACAGTAAAAATATTGTTTACCCTAGTAGAATTAATGAGGACTTAAAATTTCATGTTATTACTGTTCACAAAAGTTTCAAAGATACTAAGAGGGAAGTTACACTGTGTAGTTCATTGCTTAAGAAATTTATGTTTAAGTATGCGAAATTTAAGAATATATTGGTTATATCTTACGGCATAATATTTTGGGGGAGTTCGGCTCATGCAAAAATCATATTTCAAATACAGAAAAGAATAATAAGAATTATTACCAATTCGCGTAATATAGATTCGTGCCGTAATTTATTTAAGGAGTTACATATTCTGCCACTTCAGTCTCAATATATATTTTCTTTACTTATGCTGGTTGTCAAGAATAGAGATTGCTATATAACAAACTCTGATGTCCACACACGTAATACCAGATTTAATCATGACTTGCATCTTCCAGTGGTAAACTTAACGATATTTCAGAAAGGTGGATGGTATTCTGGTATCAAACTTTATAACCACCTCCCTCCAGAGCTTAAACAATTATCTTATGACATTCCTGGATTTAAAGTGGCGTTAAAGAAGTTTCTTATCACCAGTTCTTTTTATACTGTTGAAGAATACTACTGCTGGAAGAAAGATTGACACCTCATGTATATATTTTAATCATGTATGTAATTTTAAATGTTATTTTGACTTATGAATGTATTATGGTACAGTAGTTTTGTTGTATTTTGACGATGATGAATGTCTGATTATGTATGTATATTTATATGTTATATTGTATTATTGACTTGTTCTGTATCTGAGGCAGATGCCTCTATGGATATTTTTGGAACTGTAAATAAATGACAATGGCAATGACAATTTTTTCTTTCTGTATTTGTGATTTTAGATTCTTCCATTAGCAGACTGAAGAGTTTACGTGATCCATCTAAAAAAATGTCAAAATCTGAGCAAGATCCCAAAAGTCGTATAGAAATCACAGATACACCTGATGACATACTTGAAAAGTGTAAGAAAGCTTTGACAGATTTCACTTCGGAAATTACCTTTGATCCAGAGAAACGTCCTGGTGTTGCCAACCTAATAACAATCCATTCTCTCTTTACTGGTCTGGATCCAGCAGAGATCTGTGAGCAGAATATAGGGCTGGATACTGGCAGGGAAAACTTTTACTTAATCATTACTGTCTTCCTGAAGTTAACATTTTTTTAAATGATTATTCAGTTATACTTGACAGCATGATATATTGGTCTTTTTTGTGTCAATCTTTAAAAAAGGCCCTACATAAAGTGATAATATCTGACTCCAAGAAGCAGAATCCCTAGTCACACAACTGGTCAAGAAATTCTCCTTTTGTGGAACAACCCAAAGGTTCATTAATATGTTCAAAGAGCCTGCCATTGGACCTCATCCTAAACCAATTGAATCCAGTCCACATCTCCACCCATTTCCTTGATCTTCTCATGGTCGTGATGCAGATATTTGCACCTTCACTAGGTACTCCTGTCAGATGTTAGCATAATTATTTGTCACGCAGTGTTTTAATATTGCCTACTCATCTTGTATTGATGAATGGTAACAACCAGAAGCTACTGGCATTCTCTTGCGATTTCTTGTGAGACAGTGTCACCAAATCCATTCAGAAAACTTCTCAGGAACTTGTATAAAAAACCTGGTGAGCTGAATAGCTCAGTTGGTATAGTGACGGTCTATGGATTGGACAACCAGGGTTTGATTCCTGGTAGGGCCAAGAGATTTTTCTCTACTCCACAGCATCCAGCGGGCATCGGGGGCTCTTTCCCCAGAGTAAGGTTGCCCAGGGCTTGAAGTTGGCCACTAACCTCCAGCTGGTGCCAAGGTCAGGTACTGTACTTCAACTGCCCCATATATCTTGGTATGACAGTGCTTAATTAATTAAGCACAGGGACAGCTTTACCTTTCTTACATTCAATTGAAAATACCTGACCTGACAGGGTTGCCACATCACGTAAATACTTGACTGTGAAAGAATTAGGATAAGTTTTATATTATCCTTCGATCTACACATAGATCTGTCTCTTCCTTTCAAGTCTTCTGATTACAATTCTGTGTGACTTTCTTATCGCCTTCATTCATGCCACGTTCTGCATTCTATCTTTGCTCAGACTTCAGTAAATGATTAGCACAAGTGAAAGTGGTGATTCAGGAAGGATTGGACAGAAAGCTCACATTTAAAGAAATGCATGCTTAATTACAAAACTAACAGTTATCTTCACTGTGTGGGTCAAAGGGTGGAATGTTAAGATTTTAAAACCAGAAATGCAGTGTTATTTCAGATGTTAATATCTTAAAATTCAAAACATCATAATAATTTTCTGTCACCAAGAAACAGGTATCATAAAATTTCATTGACTGATTTATTTACAGATATAAGCTTGTTGTGGCTGAAGTTATTCAAGAAAAGCTTGAACCTCTTCGACAACAGGTTCAACAATATATGTCTGAACCACAATATATAGAAGAAGTTTTAAATAGAGGAGCAGACAAAGCATCGGTAATAGCACAACAAACCTGGCTAGATGTGAAAACAAAAGTAGGGCTTCAAATTAACGAAGGTTCATACAGATGTCTTCAGGTGTCAGAGAAAAGAGTGATGTGAAGTTGAGAATAAACATGGGTATAATTGATGCAGAACAGGGAAATTAAAGCCTTTCATTGTAATTCATGTATCCAGGTTGTATCACTTAACCTTTCAGCTGTTAAGCTACACAGTTGTGATACTTCTTATAGACCAGCCTTCTTTTGGCAATTTATACTAGCACAAGATTTTAACGAGACACCTTTTTCCGCACATCTCTGCTTTCCTAATTTCTTCTACTCTCTTCATGTTCTGTTACCAGTTCCATCTTTCACATCCCTCTCACATCGTATGTCCAACCCACTTTGGTGTTCTGTTTCTAGTGAATACAGTCCAACTGTTGTGGAATAAAGTTGTGTGAAGAAGTAAAACACTCAGCAAGATCTAGTAAGCTCATCACCATTTAGAGTACAAAAGCACTGCTTAACTGGGAAAAGAGAGAAGTCTGAAAGGGTTCTTGTTACCTAGGATGGTTATTCTGCAACTGTCAAGTAAGTTCTGTTGTCATGTATTTCTAGGACAGCTGTTTAGTGTTAATCCTATATTGCAACTGGGACCGACAGATAACCCAATGGGTGAAAGGTGCATACAAGACGAATCAGCCACACACATCCCATGCGATTGTGAGGCCATAGCTTGCTTAAGATTTTGTCACCTGGGTCAGTTATTCATGTAAATTTTATGCAAAGCCATAAAGAATGAATTTTGAAAACAAGTATTCCAGTACCAGCACATGGTAAACTGGTGTGTCATGCTACAGGTCCTACTGCTGAATTGGCAGAATTCTTATAAGACTATGATTAGTGAAAATGGCAAATCTTTGGCTGCTGCTAGAAACAGCTTCCAAATATGGTGATAAGTAGGACTTTCACCTTATCCAGAAAAATATCACTTAATTCATTGGAATTGTGTGGTTAGCAGTCAGGGATAACGGCATTAGTAACAAAGCTGCTGGATTGCAGGAATGTGCTGTTACAATAGTGCAACGAAGCTGATAAAGGTTAATGTACCCCCTCCCCCCCCCCAAAAAAAAACCACAGCCAAGTAATACTGATTTACTGTGTGGAAATCAAGTGTCTGTAGCAGTAATACAAAAGAATGTGTACTCAAAACATGTCAAGCATAAAATCGTGGCTGACAAGTGGAATATTATTTCACATTACATTTTCCTAGCAAAATGGATACATTTCAGGTACTATTTGACCAATGAACTAAATAAACATTTTTTAGACATAATACAAAAGTGTATGGTATCACTGGGAAATGAATATGCAAGAACACCTAAGTAGACGAGGCAAGTTACACATCTTTTTATTAATAATAATTATTAGTTTACTAATTTACTGAAAACACAGAACAACTAAATATATACATAAGGGTTGAAGCACTTTTGCTTTCAATCTGAGACAGTTTATGCAAATAACTTTCCTAATAAATTTTATTCAGCAGCTTTAACAAGGGCTTCGCCTACTTCAACAGCAATTGCAGCTTCTGCCTTTGCAACGTCAGTTGATGCAGATGCCAGATCGCTCTGTGCCTTGCTCAACACTTCTCGTGCAGCTGCAGCATCCAGCTGTTCTACAGGGCATGCTTCTTCTGCAAGCACCTGTACTGATGAGTCTTCATTAATGCTAACAGTTCCACTTGATACAAAGATCTTCTTTGATGTCCCATCATTTTCAAAAACAGTCACAATTCCAGGCTTCAAAACAGCAAGGGTGGGTACATGTTTTGGTAAAATACCAAAACTACCACTGAAAGATGGTACATCAACTTGCTTAACGTCTGCATTGTCATAAAATACCTGGAACATTCAGTTTCCATATATAGACTTACATAACTCTTAATGAAATTCTAATATAAAGGTTATGCAAGCTATTTACTTTCTTAACAACTTTACTTTTGTTAACTTCTTCATTTGGTTTCCATCACAACAGGATGCACTCCTTGAACATTTAATTTTGTTGCTCAATATCTCTCTTGAATGCAGTTTATTTATGTAATCATTCATTGGCTGCTAGCTACTTTCAGATTTAAAAGTACACTTTCCAGTCAGTCAGGGCATATAACTATTACTAATATTTATTACATAAAATACTTTAAAGCATTACTAATTCTGCTTTTGAAGCATCTTCAAGTAGAATTTAATATCTACAAATCAGGGAACCTAACTTTGCATTCATCTATATAAAAGGTCCCTCTACTAAAAGTAGTAGTACACTAGAGAAATCTTATGTGCAGGTTTTACTGTTCTTTTATGGTAAAACAATGTTCAGAATATTAAATGGCTATGTGAAAATATGCAATGATGATGATATTCGACTTTAAGAGCAGCAAATTAATGGTAGTATCCAATATTAATTATGGAAATATATTTTTCATTTGCCAGTCATTGTCTGGAAAACGTTTACTTCTGAAGAAGCTGCACATAACATAATACTACATATACTCAACTTACTGGAAGGGCTACAGTTTTTGCCAAAGTAACGCTTCAATATATTGTCCAGAGGTTTGTCATACATGCAATATGTTGGATGGGATCAAATTTAAAACACTGTACAACTCTGAATTACAACTCATTTTAACTTAATCCTCTTACCCTATCAGTGGATTTTAGGTTTTATTTATGGTTAGTGTACTGAAAATCAAGGTGGCAGTTGATAGTTACACGTGGCAAACGCTGAACATTTCAGCTGGCTTTGCTGTTAGTACTGTATCTTTCCTCTTGTAGATGTGGTAAGTTGTCAAGTTGCAATATTGAGACACAAGGCATTAGACTTGCAAGGGAAATGAAGGCAGGAATACAACTGTTTGGTTAACCTGCATATTAATGCCATAATGTAAAAGGAAATTCCAACTCTCAGCATTCCCATACCCTATGCAAGAAATTGTAGCACCTATCCTGTCCCCCCCCCCTTAGCCCTAACACAGGTCACCATATCAGGTTACAATATAAATTACCTAAGTGTTATAAATGTACTTCCTAAATTAGCAATAATAAGCAATTTGAAGTAACCACATTACTCGTTCCGAATCAGTGTACATACAGGAAATGTCTACTCTAACCTCTAAGTATTCTCTGGCACAAGTATTAAGTAACAAATATAAATACGTTTAGTGTTCAGCCATGCACACCTGATTACCAGCAGCAAATGTAAACGCCATGTCCGCATATCCTCTGGCGTACACGGGTGTCACATTCCGGGTGAGAAACCGTACTGCGGGCCGTACTGATCGTGCAATCGCTGCCATTTCTATGCCTAAAATAATATTTATGTATGTTACTTTGTTTATTGTATCATTAATGGTAACTGTTTTCCTCTATATCTTCTTGAATGATACAGTGTATACTATAACAACTCGTGAGAAAAATATATCAATACTACTTTAAACAGATTCTGACTGAGCTAGTATGCTTCTTACTTCCGCAAAACAGCGATACCAAATACCCAAAACAGGATATTCCTCGTAGGCCTCGAAGATGATCACGTGAAGAGAATGATGGTACCAACATACGTTCGTGAAATGTTCGTGCTTTAAACAAATTTCTCTATTCGAGATGAAATTAAATAGACGTGTCTTGACCGGTCTTTCCTTCTTTCTTTCTTTATTTCATTTTCCCACAAATCAAAATACATTGATACACGACTCGTCATGTCGCAATATTATCAGCAAAAAACATATACAGGCAATTCTACAGGTAAACAATACATATAAATCATGAACAAAGCAGTCTTCTCGGACGTGGTGTTAACCGACATTTCGGAGGAACGTATCACCTCCATCTTCAGGGTAGAAGGAAAAATAAGAAATCCGCAAGCGACGAGACCGTGAGAACCAGTACAAGCAGACTGGTGTTGGAAATAAACACAGCTATGTGAGAGCAATGAAGGAAGGAGGGGGGCAAGTCTATATGGCAAATCAGCGGAGTGGGAGGGGTGAAGGGGCTAGGACAGAAGCAGGGTTTTGTATATGATATTGTGTCGAGGGAGAATGATCTTTCCAGGACAAAGTACTATCAATGATTAATCCAAGCAATTTGACAATACAAGTGTGGTGGATTAGAGTATCACTACTCGTATATATTATATTTAAGTTTTTTAATAGATTCAATTCTGTTGCAAAGTAGACACAGTTGGTTTTACTTAAATTTAGCTTTAGCGAATTGTGTCAAAACCATTCATTTATTTTTAGCAGGATCGCTTTCAAGGTAGTTTCGAGTTCTGTGGAATTAGAATTTGAACACAATATACTAGTATCATCCGCATACAAAATTGGTATGGATGATTTATTTACTACATAAGGCAGATCATTGATATACAACAGAAAAAACAAAGGCCCAAGTATCGAACCTTGTGGAACACTCTGTTTAACTTTTTGCCATTCAGAAACACCCTTTCTATAATTATTATTTGTTAAAGTTCTTTTATATCTACCCGTTAAGTAAGATTTAACAAGCTTCCCTGCTATAATATTGATGCCATAAAACTCCAATTTAGCAAGCAATATGTCGTGATTGACACAGTCAAACGCCTTGGTTAAATCACAAAATAATCCTCCCACAGCTAGTTTGTTATTAAGTGCCAATAGGATATTATTTATTTAGTTAAAGGTAGCCATATCGGTAGTTGATTTGGGTTGAAAACCATATTGTTCTTGCACCAATATCTCATTTACTTCGATATGATTTTGCAGTCTCTTAAAAATGGCTTCTCGAAAATCTTGGAAAAGGATGTCATCAAAGATTTGGGTCTCTAATTAACAATATCAGACCTGTAACCCTTGTTGTAGGAGCGATTAATTTGAGAATACTTCATGCGGTCTGGAAAAATACCAAGGCTCAGTAGTTTATTACATATACAGAATGTGCCAGACTTCGGGAGGGTGTTCCTTATGTTAAAGTATGCCGATATAACCCAAAACACCTATGTCCAAAGTTGAACAGTTACAGAGATAATGGCCCGAGAAAAGTATGGTCTTCTGGCGGGTCCACGCACTGCACCTGTCAGCTGACAAGTCTTATCGATGTTTGTCCTGGAGTGTGGTGATAACGGCTCACACTAGCCGTAAGCTTATGTGCTACCGTCAGGGTACGTTGCGACAGCGTTGTGGTTGGTTGCAAGGTTAGTTGTGCGGAGTTGCTTAAATGCCTTTTGTGTTTTCACACGTGGAATATTGTGATTAGTCTACGAAACTAAGGTCGATTCACGAGAAGCACTGCGCGATCGTATTTTTGCAGCGGCAGAACACACGCGTCACCATCCAGGTAACGTTGTTTCTGCTACCCAGTCCCTCATGATGCGTGCCGAAAACTGCATTGCAGCTGGCGGAGGACACTTTGAACACTTTGAACAATTACTACAAAGCAGGTACTGTATTTTAGTAGAGTTATCTAGTCTGCTTAGCCGGTCACGGTAGCTGAGCGGTCTAAGGCATGTACTGTCTTCGCTCGCTCGGAAGCCGGGATCGTGGGTTCGAATCCCATTCAGGACATGGATGTTTGTGTGCGTTTTTCTCTGTTTGTACAGGTAGAGGCCTTGCGACGAGCTGATCACCCGCCCAAGGAGTCCTACCGAATGTTTAAGATCTAGAAAAACCGAAGTGAACGGAGAAGTTCATGGAGGTAGGCCTAGGCGCACTTGGGCTGTAGTGCCAAGAAAAAAATGTAGTCGGCTTATACCAGAATGCGCGGTCAGCCATTTTAAGTCAGTGCTTGCCATTCATGCGTCATGTATAGTGCTTGGAATCCCAAGGACAACTACAACATGGCGTGCGAGTTTCTTTTGTAGTTCAGTTTAATAGCTTCATGTCACTCACGAGTTAGTTTGATGTTACGTACATTATTAACATTACAGAACTCACATATTCCTGCCAGTTTTAATATGTATTTGGTAGTCAACAAGTGTGTAACACCTGTCAAAGTTTCACACTTCTCTGGCCACTATCTCCGTAACCGTTCAACTTTGGACATAGGTGTTTTGGGTTATATCGGCATACTTTAACAGAAGGAACACCCTCCTGAAGCCTGGCACATTCCTCCTGGGACACCTGTATAAGTTAATGAAGACAGAAAGAACGGTAGGCTTCTTTTTAAAATATTTTGCGGAATCTCGTCATATCCATGTGAACTCTTCGATTTTAAAGACTTAATTATGTCTTTAATTTCATTGGTGGTTACCGGAGTCATATTTATATTAGGGAATGGATGTTGAAATACCTTGAAGAGATTGTTTAAGGAATCCAGGACCTTAGAAGACGAGCTAGTTTGAGTTTGGGGTACTGGGGCAGAAAAATAATTATTAAGAGTATCAGCTATTATTTGTACATTGTTACATAGTTTACCCTCAATATTTATACTTGGGACTGAATTATTACATAGTTTACCCTCAATATTTATACTTGGGACTGAATTATTAACAAGTCTGGTATTGGTGACATGTTTAACGATTCCCCAAGAAGTCTTAATTTTGTTTTTATAGTTTGAAATTAGATTATAGAATGATTTCTTTCTTCTTTTATAACCTCGGTTAACACCTTACAGCAGTGTTTCCCAACCTTTTTGATGCTGCGGACCCCCTGTACCGAATGTTAATTTACCACTGCCCCCACAAAACCCAGAATGGAAATTTCTTATATTTTACATATCATAAAAGTGAAGCGGTAACCTACAATTTTACAACACTAAATGTGTCAGTTATGACAATAAAATACTGTTATAAATGAAGCTTATTCGGAAGACCACAAACATATCAATTAGGCCTAATATTATGAATTTAACATTCACCCAATCAACGATCCACACTTTAACCACAGAGCCATATCTAAATAAGATCGTGAACAAACTGAAAATCAGAAGTTTCGTTGTGAACTCAATTATTTGAACAAGAGCAGAAAAACTGAACATTAAGCCGAGAAAAATACTCTTGTATAATATTATAAAAACCCACTGCACAAAAACTAAAGACACAGAGGTTGTTCACTCTGCCACTGAAATGAATAAGAAACGTGGTCAATTGTCCCAGCTTTATTCCTAACCAAAGAGGGATGGATTTGGGGGGGATGAGGGGGAGACTGGTCAAACAGCAGGTAAGGAGGACAGCAGTCCACCCTGAAGACCCTGAAACACGGGTCTGAGATGGAATGGGCCAACCAAAAGAAAATGTCCTTGGAAAAAGCTACACAAATCGCTGGTTATTCACCTCTTCTTTACAAAGGGAAGGTACCGTTACGGTACCAGCAGTCCCGTTAAATTTTACTTCAACCATGGGCCTCAAGAGCCAGAGATATACATTGCAAATATCCCAGGTGTGAGGAACATAAGATAAAGTTTAATGAAAGTAAACTATCCCGTGGAGCCGTTTTGAATTACTCGCGGACCCCCGTGGGGGTCCGCGGACCACAGGTTGGTAACCACTGATCTAGACTAAAATGGTATAAACCACTGTAAAATAATACAGGTTAAGGCATTTTTATTTTTCAGTTCACAGCCATTTATATTGTTATATGATATGAATCATATTAGAGTACCCATAAAACTCATCATAAATATATTGTTAGAATGAAACTTGAGGCTGCTTTCATTTAGCTAGCCATGGTATCAAACATTGTCTGGACCAGTACTGTGAAGATCCATTCAAACTGAGTGAAATCTGCTCTTCTTGAAATTATCTTGTTAAGGACACCATTTGTTAGCACCACATTTCACATTGTAACCGTATCTTCTACTACAAGACTTACACATTATGCCACATCATTTTGCCATTGGATAGCACCAAGCTCATTACCGCCACCCTTACTTCCATTGTGAGACCTACATGTCTGGAATTGTCTTCCTTTTGCTTTATTCTTCCTGAAAATGGTGCTTGAACTATGTACCAAAATTGTGTAATAACTATAATGTACAATGTGTCTACACCCTGGAAGCTGAAATTACACATTAGACCTAAAGACAAGTTTAGCATAACCGTTCATATGCTTTCATTTTTTACACAGTGCGTTAACCTAGTGAAAATAAAATAATGTGAATAAATATAAGCGGAACCACTTCTTGATTGCTGGTCTGTGCACTCAACTTGCACAAGAATTCTGTAGGTAATCTATCCTGAATCCTCTTCCATTGGTGTTGGCGTTAGTTCGAACAGGTATCATAAATGGTCCGTTAGATGTATCTGAAAGTAGATAAAAACTGTATAATTATTTTCAGATCCTATTCAGTATATCTCAGGAGTAAAGTGAGCTTTACCAGTAGTGGCTCTGTTAGTTTCATGATTTACACCATTAGAATGATTATGCAGTACTAGCTGTAAAATGGAAATGTGCACAGACTATAGAAATAGTCACTTTGAATGCAGGGAGCAGGACAACTTAGGAGGTTTCAGAAAAATAGTTTCTGAGGTTGTTAACTGGATGAAACTGACCCAAGAAAGGATGCTGTGGTGAGATTTAATGTTACTGGGAGCGGCCTCCATAGTCTAGGGGTAACGTTCCCACCTCATGACTCAAGGTACGCGGGTTCAAACCCAGCAGAGGTCATGGAATTTTTAAGGACGGAAAAATTCAGGGAACAAGACCTCCGGGAGGGACTTCAAGCCGTGGGTCCCGTGTCGTAGATTTACGGCACATAAAAGATCCTCATGTCTCTAGGAGACCTCTGAGCAAAATTAGGCAACAATTTCCCACCCACGTAGTTTCCAATGTCTCTGGTAGATGGGAGAAATATCAGGTACCGACAGCCGACCTCGTTGGCTGAACGGGGCTGATAGCATGCACCAGTACCGGTAGGGTATGGCGACAGTATAAATTAAAGGGGGACGCACGATGGACCAATAACTGGTCTAAGTGCGTGGGAAAACCCACCCCCTCTAATAATAATAATAATGTTACTGGTGTTGAATATTCTAATTGTATTACCAAGGAATTCAAGGATTTTCATCCTTCTAGCCTGTATGTGGTCCACTGCCCAGATATGTATGTATGTGTAAGGGTGGGCCATAGCAATTTGGCCCTTGCATCGCGACCATCATTGATCTATTGTGCTTCCCCTTTGAATAACCATTTATTAATCCAACACTTCAGATGAAATGTAGGACCCTATTTATGGGGGTGTCATAATAGTTACTTGGTTCCAACTGCCCAGTTAACCAGATCGTCCAGTTTTTGTTTCTTTAAAACAAATCTGTCCTTATTGATAACAACAAATCAAAATAGTAAAATCAGGCATGCAGATATGGATTGAAGTTAAATAAATGAATATTGTACATTCCAGCAAGTTATTCATGAAACATGCCTTTTTTTCCTTGAACAACTGAGCAAATGTACGTACATGAGAGAAAGTCAGAAAGTTAAATAGAAAACATCTTTTGAACCCACTGTTAATGTTAACATGGGGATTTTCCATCCCTATTGCAGTAATAATAGCTCATTACCTTAACTTCTGTTGCTAACTCTTTAAAATTATATCCCTTTTACTGTGTAACAAAAAAGAGATGTAACTTAAACAGCTTTCTAATTTTGCTCCTTCATTGAAGTGTTTTTTTAGACACCGTTTTACAGAATATATTGCAGTGTAATCATTTATTTTGCCATCTTGTTCCATCCAAGACATTTGGGACCCACTAGTAGAATGAATTTTTCAGTGGTTGGTTGGTTGGTTGGTTGGTTGGTTCGTTCGTTGATTGGTTAGTTAGTTATGAAAAACTTAAATGAAATGGTAAATACATTAATATTATGACAGGGTGGAAATGTTATTTTGATTGCAAAAACAAGAATATCTTACAGAATCCTGTGGAAATTTTTTCAGACGTTGACTGCTTTGAAGGCTTGAAAATACATGGGATGGTAACGTTAAGATATATTGTAAAGAAACAAATTTTGAGAAATTCTTTCAATAATTTAATAAAGTAATATAATGTAATTGCATGCTACTTACCTGTAACTGGGTAATTCCTCGTGAAGTCAAGTTGCACTGACGCATCATTAAGCCTCTCACCACACAGTCGGATGCCATTTATTACAATATAATCATCAGGGCAATTAAAAATCTCTGCCCCAGCTTGCCCTGGTGGTATAAGTGGATGTCCATCTGCAAAGTAATATTTAATTTGTAAATAACTAAAATATTGCTCATAATTTGTACAGGTGCATAAAGTGAATGCATTGTGTTAAGTGCATTCTCTCCATCTGGCAGTGTGTTTCATTTCCAGAACCACCCAACAGATTTCTCTGAATTTTTCTATCATGGAGGTGGAGTGAGGAAGGGTCTGTACTAGAAGTTGTCAAGTGAATTAAATTTTGGTCCTTATTGATCCAGTATTCTTTACTTCTCATGAAATTCAAATGAACATTTATCCATTTTTGTAAAATCAGATTACCATACAAGAAATTGGTACAGAATGTGAAATAGATCACGCAAAGGTTTATATACTTAGTTGAACAATTTTTTTATGTATTATGTGTGTAACAAGTCTGAAGAAAGATTGCTTTTGTCTCAATATAGTGTCATACCAGAGCTACTGTACTTATTTCCTTCAGAACAATAAGTACTGAGTGACACAAATAATATTCTGATAAAAGTTGTCCCCATAATTAGATTATTTCATGTTAAACATTCCATGCTTTTTAAGAAACATGTTTGAAAGCTACAGGGCATCAAATTGTAAAGTGGAATTTATTAATATATTTACATGAGGTGCACTTATTTTCTGTATGCCAAAAATTTCCATCCTTTTGATATAAAAAACATTCAAGGAATATCATATAATGAAATGAAAATATGAACAACAGGGTTTGATAATGTCGGAATACCTCAGTACTTCATATAAAATGTTGCTTTTATAACATTTCATAGACACAAGAAAATTTAATAAAAATTGTTCAATTAATTATTAAAAAAAAATCTTGTCACTATATTTTTCTCGGCTCTAAATGGGTATATTTGTTAGGTAAAGGGGCAGAAGACACGTGATATTTAAAACAACTTTTTCATGGCCGTTGGCAGTCAAATTATACATGTCAGTATACTTCTGGAGTTGGCTGGTTGCAATAATTGCAGCACTATGTTTATTCTCCTTACAAGGTATACATGTAAAAAGAAATTAACCTTGATCTACGTTGGTGAGCTGGAAAGGGTATGCCGTTCCATCTGGAGCCGTACTTGTGTAGGTTACACTGCAATATCCAGGTTCCTTGTGAATACAGATGGCATAGTTCAGGTTATTCTGAAATTGTGCATGCCTAATTAGTTCTGTCTTGATTTAATTTAACAAACACTTCTAATTTTATTTTGAAGTTAATGTTAATTTAAAATGATGTATTTATAGTGGTGCATTATGTGGCGCCTTTTCGTAATTAATAAGTATGTCACTAACTTGGAGATCACTGTATTCTGGAATGAGATGCCATACAGACTGGTAAATATTTGCTGTAGTTTTGGAGGAACATGCTATCTCCATCTACATGGCAGAAGAATGTTTTAAAATCTGTGGGTGTTGCTCAGAATAGACATGTCATATAGAATAACTGTGCAAGATCTGAGGTTCCCATGGTGGTGAATGTTTACAAATATCTATCAGAATCAGTGCTTGAGGTGGAATGAAAATAGAACCGGGATGGTTTTCCCCTTTTAAGGTATTGTACATTGCATTTACTGCCAAAGAAGTAACGGGATGATTTTAAGCCATTTAGAAAAGAACCGGGATGCCATCCCGCCCCACCTCAAGCCCTGATCAGAATACACGGTTTCACATCACAGAAGATAATAGTTTGCATAGCCCCTGCAGTAATGACCCTAAATTTTACAAGTCGCTACCTTGTTTACTTTTCCAAAACTTTCTTTGATAAAATTATCTCAAAATAAAAAGAAAATGCGGATTTATTTATTTTCCAAATTGACCCATGCCTCCATACATCCCATTTTTTGATAGTTCTAAATGAGATTTTGTGTTATACCATTTACTTGGTCTGTTATAGAACAAATTTTGTGTAGATCAAGATGGCTTTGTGCCAAGCTCTTGGGGAAATGGCCATCTCAAGGCAAAATTTATGATAACCATTTATTCGAGAGTTTCTTTCATTTCTGACACAATTCGTGGACAGACTATAACATTGTTTCTTAACATTTTTCATCACGTGCCTACTCTGATCTTTCAGAATTCCCATGCCTCTACCCTTCAATATAAAATTATAATTTACATTTAAAAGCTTATGCTATTTTTTTGGCAGTCAGCATTAAGTTGTTAAATTCTGTCTATGCTGAATTTTTTATTTTGTATACTAAGGCAAATACTGCAGCTTGAATAGCTATTTGCCATGCCATGATATATATTAGTATGCAAATGGTGACTTACCATGTAGCCAGGAATAATAGGTAAATTGCTGCCTTTCATTGCTTGGTAGTTGAAGGACTCGATTGAACCCTGAACTCCTCTATAGTACTGGAAGCAGTTCCTGGGGGCTTCAAGAGGACTGCCTTTCTTGATCTGTGTAATTTTTATTTTAAAGCTCCGGGGAAGGTTATTCCTCATTGTCAACATGTTCAGCTGCAGTGGTCCAGTAACAGTGTCCACATCCATGTAAACTGACAAAAGAGACAGTGTGTCATGTACAGGTTTATTGACTTGTCAGTTTCTGTTGGCTTTCTTTCATCTTGTGTTACAGTATGGCAGTGTTCCAATTTTGTTTGTACTCTTCACTTAGTATTACTAGGATAATTAAATGAAGAATAATGACATGAATAGTACATGTAGTACATATGACGTAAAGTAATGGGTAGCATTTTCCCTGTGTTTAAATAAGTACATGAAGATGTATGGGGGAGTGGAGTTGTTTCTCCTTGCATTCTTAACCTCAACGCTAGATGAAGATGAGCTTCACAAACTAGCCATTTTACCTCTGGAGAAAGAGACCCTAGTATTCATTGGATAGGAGGCTCACTGGGCCCCACAGCCAGTCTGGATGCTGTAAAGATGATAAATCCCTTGCCCCTGCCAGGAACTGAGCCACAGTTCCCTTGTCATACAGCCTGTAGCTTAGTCACTATACTGATGGAGCTATTTCGGCTCCCAGAACATATTAAGGTATGCAAAAGTACGTCTGAAGTGTTGGTTGAGAAGAGAACCATGTGGGAGTCTTAGGTTTGCATGGGATAATAATATTAAAATGAAACTTAAAAATGTAGAATGAAAAGACGTAAACTGGATTGAAGTGGCTCAGTACACAAGCCCCTGGCAAGCAAAGAGTTTTGAATATATAACAAAATAATTGCTTGATTAGCAGAATAATAACACTGACAAACTCATAAAGAATACTTAATGCCATGGATTTCAGTTATTTCCACTGAAAGAAAATCACGGTTCTGTGTTTTGACTTTTAATGCCATAGGTATCTGATTGGTGCTGCTATACTTATCCATAGGTAGTCACACTTCAGATATGTGTTATGGATTGTTTAAATTTATGTAAAGAATAAAATTATAGCATGTTTATTATATTTTGATTGCAAATACCAAATTCTTTATTCTTCATTTTTAAAATTTCATTGCAGTCATTTCCCGTAATGAAGTGACATATATTTAGAAGTAAAAAATAAAGTTACTGCAGCATTACATGAGGGTAGATACAGAGTAATTGAAAATGAAGTAAATGCTGTCAGATGCTAAAACTTGTAATACAAAACTCATTCATTTCATAGCGATGCCACTTGAACCACCTAGTAGCTAAACTGACCAAGTATTTTCTGATACCATCTGCTATAGCTTCATATGCTGTGAAGGTGGTGTTTACACAGGAGAAAACATTCAGTGGCATACAGCGTGCTAAGAAAAATTCTGTTACAAGAGTGCAAAATGAGTTTTGTGATCGTTACCAGATGTTTTGCCACAACAAAAGCCGATTTACACATGGTGTAAGCAGTATGAAACAGAAGAGTGCATCTGCAAGGGAAAGTGTTCTGGTCATCCCCACATCACTGATGAGAGAAATGTGCCATGTGTGAGGGAGTCCTTCCAGTACAGCCCATGGAAGTCTGCTTATAGATGTAGCCATCAGTTGAATTTGCCCCAAACAACACTCTGGCATATTCCATGACAGCATTTGTTTATGAAAGCATGCAAGTTGCAGTTGATACAGGCCTTGAAACCAAATGACAAGCACAAATATTACGATTTCTGCTGGGCCCTTGAAGGGGTCTTAAATTGCATGACATGGCAGTGTGACCATTTTGAGTGATGAAGCCACTTTATACTTGAGCAGCAAAGTCAGATGTTCATGTCTGGGACTCAAAAAATCCTCATCAGATCATTGATCATGAACAGGACTCCCCAGAAATGATTTTTTAATGTTATTTCAGGAAGAAAAAAAGGTATACATGAAAACAAATACAGTAAATATTTATGCTGGTTAAATGACTCTGCGATTTTGTCTTCCACCATAATGGCGCTCCTCCTTACTTCCACTAAGAAGTGTGATGATACCTAGACAACGCACTGCCATGATGATTGATATCTGAGGCATGGAACCAAAGAAGACTAAATGTTGTGTTCCTGAACTCCCATGTTGCTGGATCTGACATCATGCCACTTCTTTCTGTGTGATTATATGATGGATACTGTATTTGTACTAGCATTTCCACACACATTCCAGATCTATAGCTTAGGATCACTGAAGCAGTATCATCAGTTCCAAAATAAAGATCTTGGAAGAACAGGTGTATCAGATCGACATCTGCCATGTGACTTGTGGGGCTCACATCAAGTGTCTGTAAAGCTTGTGAGAAACTTTGAGAGATTCTCAAGTTATCCGTAGATGTTACGTGAATATTATATGGATATTTTAATTTATATGATTTCTAAGTGTTTGTGTAGTTTTGAATTGCCTCATAGAAGATTGGGTAGTGCAGCATTACATAGTCCATACCTCATCACTTCATTTAAACTAGATTTTATTCTAAGAAAATTCACACTTATACTTTTCAGAATGTACGTGGAGTAATGATTTGTAGCATCGTTATGAAAAGTCTTCACTAAAATACAACAACATGAATGTCAGTTTCTGAACTCACTGTGCTGTCCTGTATTGATGCCACAGATGATGGGCGTGATGCTATTAGTGTTCTGTCCCGTCACAATAAACTGGTCATCTATACAAGTTCCATTCGTTGGTCCAAGCAGCTGTTGCACCAAACAATAATAATATCTTGAGTAGCATATTGCACTGTATTCATTCAATTAGGTTTTAATAATCTGATTTAAATGCTTTTATCCTAATGTAAATTTAAAATTCAGGTAAACTTAGAAGATAATATGTATCACAAGGATATTGTAAGATCATGATAATTCTGGAATATATCAGTCCTTTAAAGCACATATTCTGTGCATCTAGTAGGCAAAGCTGATATTAAGGTATGACACCCACTCTGTACACATTAGCAACATGTATATACCATCTTTCTGTTTTTTACAGTATAAGGTCTTTATGTTATAACAAGGACCTCTGGGCAAAACTCATAAACCTTTTCTATCACACAGATTTCCATTTCTATAAACATTGTGTTGTTAGTATTGTATTTGTGTGATGTAATGGCGGTTTATAGGTATATACCCATCACACAAACGGATGGTAGTAATGCTTGTACCTCATTGATATCTTTAATTATGCCACTATGTGTTTCATTTCTAGTGAGCCATCATTATATGTAGGTTGATGTAGTGAAGTATGAGGTAGTATTATTTAAATGTGTTTCTTATTATTTTGTGTGCAAAAGTTAAAATATAAAAAGTAGATTATTTCCAGGTCATTAGAAGTTCAGAATTTTAAAACAGAAGAATGATTAAAGTTCATATGTTNTAGATAAGTGTATGCACTGCAAGACGGAATAAACAAATCATGATTTGGATGTTCTTACAACATCAGCATGCTGTCTTGTTGAATGTGGATAGTGGTACCTCCACTGGGTAGACATTGTTTGCTAACTGAATGCGTGTTAGATTAATTTGTTAGCAGAGGGGAGCATTTCTTCACAAATGCGTCTTGAAAAAGGTTTGTTCTTCTGAGTTGTGTCTGAACTAGACACAGCTGACAAGAACAAACATTTTTAAAGATGCATCTTTGAACAAAAGGACCTTTCTCATTTATGATATGCAGGAAAAGTTTATCATGATCTTATGTAAAGTAGGCTTTGTTACAGGTCAGTATGGTTGAAAATTGAAATTGCCCAACAGCTTACAGTGAGTCTCTGGTACTAAATTAAAAAAAATTATCCATTCAGCAATATAGGCATTGATACTAGGTCACAGAGAGACACGACCTTCACATAGGGCATTCTGTTTACTTTGTAAAGAACTCCTCAAAATTAAGAAGTTGGGGCGACTTACAGTGGCATAATTCTCATACCAGCTGTGTGAAAATGAGTCATCTCTGAATGATCGAACTACATGGCATTGTAATCTCATAAATCTACTTCCCCCCACAAGGAAGTGATGTACAACATATTCCTGATTATCTAGTTTTGTGCCTTATTTGCGCACTGCCTACTCCTGCAGAGAGCCTATCAGGTTTAATCAGCCCATTTGTGTATGTACATGTTAAACTATGCGAGAACTCCTGAATGGACTGTTATGAAAACTGATACTGGAGATGTTTATAACAAATTTTCAGTCACTCCATTTTCATTAAATTGGAAGACCTACATGCATTTCTGCTCATATCTTAGGCACAGCTTGCAAAGTACTTACCAGAGGGGAAAAATGTTTTGAATGAAAGGAAACATATTCATTATATTCTATACACTTTTTGTAAGTCTTATAGTTTTTCAGATAAACTGGATCCTATGCATACATTTCCAAATTTATATGTTTGACAATCACCGTGATGTCCCGATCATGGATTGTCCATAATTAGTTTTCATTCATGCATCCAATCCCCTTCATTAACATGGATAGTTGGGAATATACTGCATGTTAAAATAGAATACGCTACTTATATTCAGGCAATTTAATGATTAATATACAAAAATAAAATTAAGTCACAAAAGAAAATAATTTCTAATATTGTTAAAAAAAAGTAAAGCTGTCCCTGTACCAGGCTGTGAAGGCCCATAGGATTGTGAGACGTTGAGGGTCCCACATTATCTAGACAATCGGCTCAAAGATGGCGGTAAAGCATTTTATTCTCCATAGACATTTTATGACAGTCATTTTATAGAGGTTTCAGGTTGTCTAGATTTTCATTATGCAATATTCTTTGTTCACATAAAATTGCAGGAAAAACCTACACAATTGTTAAATTATATTAATTTTCCTTGCACTCATTGAATGCAGATCTGTTCCTATTTAGTGTTTTTTATTCAGTTTGTGTTCAAGTTAAATCAGGTCATCACATCTTATTGAGATAGCATGGTGCAGATAATAGATTTCAGTCTGCATTATTCACTGTTATGATTCAGCTGAGATGTACCTCAAACATGAAGAAATCAAGACGTATCTGTGAGACATCTGGATGGGCCTTCTCAATAACAAGGATGCAGGCAAGCATGTTAGTTATAGATGATGGGTACCCAGGGTTGACAAAGTAGCTGCAGTTTTGGCGTGTTACTTCTCCACATGACTTCTCAACTGTGAATAATTCAAAATTCAGTTATTCTCATGTGACAATGATTATAAATGGGGTTTTAACTGATAATCTTATTTATTGGACTCTTGCACTTGTAACTACAGATAATTTTGACAACCTCACCGAGTTACACACTCCAAAGATCACTGTAACTACAGCACACATAAAGCCTTCTCAGTCTTCATTAGCCACTGGCTGTTAATGGCTTCCAACAGCAGACGTTCCCCTTTCTCTGGGTTTCCTAACTGTCCCCGACCTCAGCTACCAGCTGCTAACTTAACAAAAAGTGTAACTCTCAACTCAATTACAACTCGGTCAGTCTGTAGGTTAAATTGCTGCTGACCTTCGCCAGCTTCCTGACTTCAGACTCCTCGAGTTCCATGAGCAAGATTTGTATTCTCTCCTAGACATATGTGTGTTTCGAAATGGGGCCTCCTGTTCAACGAAAGAGGGGTTGGTCTTTCTGTGTCGGTGTTACGTTTGTTGCACCATAGTTTCAGCACAAGCATATACTCGTATGTGCTGTCACGGCATTTAGGTCCTGTGCTTGCTTTGTCACTGCATTATACTACACAACATTTATACAAGGGATACAGAGGTTTTCTGTCACTGAAGGCTTATGCAGCAGGTCATGCCTTAACTTATTCAACCACATCTCAGAGTCAGAAGTACTTTATGACTGGCAGTTTGCCACCAATCTTTTTGTCTTGGCGTCAAGCCCCCTGAGACTCATGACCAGCATTTTTCCAGCTGAAGCCTTTCGGTCATAGTCCTTATGTAACATCTCTCTAACGAGAAGATGGGTCTGTCCTTTACAATTGCTGCAAGTCCTTGCCAGTGCAGTCATTCTTGGGTCAAAGTCCTGCGGGACTTGTGACTAAATTTTACTGTCTCACATGTGAGACTCCCCCAACCTGGAGGGCCAGATCTCTGTATTTATATGCCCCCAGGAACTGGGTGGCCCAGTTATTATACCCCCAGACAATGTGTTCCCTTTTCATCACCTCCTACAACTAGCAGGGCATGCTCTGCACAGAAACTTCTCTTCCATCGTTTTGTGTTCTCTCTTTGCCAAGAAAACGTGTCCACAGAACTGTTCCCTAGCAATGGCTATTGCACTGTCACCTGTTTACATATCTGTTACTTGGCAATGGGTCTACATGTCACAATATACATAAATAAGAAATTAATAATTCCTCTAGAAACTAAACTAATAACAAAAAATAATATAGCCTGGCAGTATGACAAAACTGTACTTACTTACTCCTCGGCTCTTCAGTCATCTAAGAACCTTGGCCTTCCTTCAACACATACTCATCCTTGATTATTTGCCTTTTGCCTCTAACTCTTCACTTTCAGATCTCATACATCATTTTCTATGCATAACTCATTGTCCTTACAACCTTTCGTTAATCATACCACCCCAAATTATCCATCGTTATATTTTTTAATATGTATTGCTTTCCAAGGTGAGGTTTTTAGCCTTGCATGCAATAACCAACCTGGAGACCAGGGGCTATCTTTCATCTGGAACCCACCCTCTGACCTATTTAAATCTGATGGTTTTATCAGAACATATGCATTGCTAGCATAGCTCTCCAGTTTACCAGGGCACAAAAACCTCTCTGCCACATTTAGTTAGTATCCCTGAAAGGGAGTATGACAATAATTTTACTCTAATGAAAGGAATGTTTAGACTTTCAGAAGCCATATGAAAAGAAAATTAACTTATAAGATGATCTAGTTTGTATACATATGTCTTATTTATTGTCACTTGAACCCCTTGCATATTTAAGTATACTGCGTTTTCTTGATATATAACACTAACACAGCAACATAAATTTCAACATGTAGTGTGGCAGTAAATAAAAAACGTGTTGTGTGGTCGGTAGATTAACTTTTACATTCAATATATTATTCTATTTTGAACCAGATTTGAAGTACAGTGGGTCCTCTTTGATGCTAAACAGTAGCAAGCAATTTGTACCCTACCATGCTTAGCCATTGCCATCCACCTTATCTGCATTCCATTGACAGTAGAATTATTGTTCAAGTTATCAAGCACCACACTTCCTTGCTGGTGTTATATGCATGTGTGAGTGAGTAAATTATATTCAAGATGGGTTACAAATCAGTACTGAATTTAAGTATAGTTTCTATACATAGTACTTTGTAAGGCATTCCTTACAGTGTAAATGTGGCCAAAAATATTCCAGTTTCACAATGCCATTTGAAATGAAGACTAATATGGCATACTCCACATTACAGTACTCAAAATTTCCAACAGCTTTCTTTGCAATGATTAAGCTTATTGGCCGCCTCTTTATCTGTTCGTGGCCTTAAGTAAGTATGACTAAACATCAGAATTGCCCAACAATTTCTAATGGAAGTCTCCCATAATAAATTTTAAAAGGATCTGTCCAGCAGTTTAGACAGTAACAGACTAACAGGTGGACAGGCGTGACCTCCACTTTGTTATTTGTAACGTTAACATTTCTGAAAATTTAACATGCACTTGCACATTTATTTCAAACTGTTATTTGAGAGGATAACAAGGTTTTATTTCTGGTTATACAGCAGTTACAGATCTATTGAGATTACCTATCTAGGCCAAATCCCAACCTGAGTTCAAATTTTATTGAATTTCACATATTATACCTCCAATAATGAGTCTGTTATGAATTACTTTGTGCTGAGTCATGGAAAGTAATCTGAATTCACTCATGTTTTTGTCAAAGATTTAGTAAGACTGGAATTAGAGCTATAAGAGATTAGTCAGTAAAGAGTCTGGCTCTAGAAATGGTAACCAGAATTTGATCACCCACTAGAAGCACTGGGAACTTTTCATGTTAGCGTTATGCCTGGAATGAGTATAGGGTCCAGCCAGACGTCTGTTATGCACAGTTCTCTCCCTAGAAATAAACTTGGTCACAGTGATGTCATATCATGAAAGTGAACTGTTGGGCCATCTAATTTTAGAATTAAATAGTGTTTACATGTGTGGTGCAGATAAGGTGAGGCAATCTGCCATCTGAAAAAATTTAACTGAAACAACAAAGTCATATTTCTAAGTGTCTTTTGGTAATGATTATTTATTACTGAGGTAGGGGAAAATGTATAGAGATCCATGGCTGAGCTTAAGAATGCAGTAAGTACATCCATGGTAAAATCATCATATATGGCTTGAAGTGCCCATAATCTGTTGTGGAATGTCTGTTTTGTTGGCTGATTTACATTATGAGTGACAGCATGTACGTACAGTAACAGCATACACCATATCCTTGCGCACATGATCCACTAGCCACTCCACCAAGACTTTTACATTCCAGATGGTGGTAACATGTTCCATTTACACCCCCAACTGTTTGACAGGGCTCATTAGGGAATTCAACAATAGTGAAGAGGCTCAGAACTGAAACATACACAACCAAAGCTGAAATCAGAAAATGGATGCGGTTTATAATCCCTATAATTTACTGACTGACCAACACATTTTTACACACTATTCATTGTCCAGTTGATGGATTTTGAGTTAGTTAAGAAACTGCGCTCTTATGCATTTTCAGGCTACTTTTCTTTTCTGAAGGAAAATACAGCTAATAATCTTATGAGATCACCTTTCTCTGTGTGTGTGCACGTGTGTGTGTCTCCCTCCCTCCCTCCCCTTGTCCTTATATTTGAACTAATTAACCGATTTTTTACACAATTTGTCATGAACATTATGCAGCTGAAGGCCACCCAAATTTCATACTCTTCAGTTGGTAGAAACAGTATGGTAGATGCACGAATTTATATAATGTCCTGCAATAATGGTAATGATCCTTGAAAAGTTTACATTTTCTAAGTAACTGCCCCCTCCAGCCCTGAATCTGCTTCAGCTTGAAACTCAAGCAGTGTTTTGTTCAAAATCCAGTCATGAACTTGCAATGCTCAGACTTTGTATGTTTTTTTCAGTCCCTCTAAACATATCCACTTAGTAGTTTTCTTTCAAAGTAAGTCACTATTCCTCCCACAAACCTCCAGATTTGTAATTCCTAATCTTCCAACCATATTCTGTTTTACCAATAAAAGAAAGTGGAAACATCTGGCTAAAGATGACATAAAATAGATTAAATAAATTATTACTGGTACACGTGGTGCAGAGTTAAAAAAAAGGGATCTGCCTACAACACAGTCATAATGGTAGAACCATTACAATTGGCTGTAAAATAGCTCAGGCAGTTATTAGCCGGTTTCCTACTGTGGTGACCCAGGTCTGGTCCTAGCTCAGGTCATGTGGGATTTTTGGTGGACTAAGTGATATGGTGGTAGGTCTTTTCAAGTACATTGGTTTCCCTTCCAATTCTCATTCCAGTAACAGGTCTATGCTCGTCCATCATTATTAGCTACATCTGGTACAATGGGCCAAGAGTGGCCAGGCTACCAAGTGGACCCAGTTTCACTCCATCCTATGGATAAAGAAAAAATTCGTTCAGTGCGGATGTCATGTATTACCAATACATTAATATAATTCAATATTAGTTTGTAAGTTTTGGTTTGCTTTATTTGGTTTCCTGATAGTGCCAACTCCTACATGGTGCACTGAAGTTTACTTGTTGATCAATGAAAACTGTACATACATTTGGCCACTTTCTTCTGGAGGATGCCCTTGGCAATGTCTGCGAAGGTCCTTGGACTGTCTTCATCTGGTGATATTTCTAGTTTCCTGTAGAGGACGATCCTCCTGAGTTTCACCACTCTCGTGCCGTTGGGTAGAATGTAGCTGGTAACTGCTGTTGGTGGACCTGTCGCAACTCTCGTCCAGGCTCTGAGCGGGTATCCACCATGATGAAACGGCACGTTCGCACCAGTGTACTGATTCTTGATAAGTGCACCATCTGCTTCTGTGTACACTGGCACATGCTGCCTTACTCCTTCGAAGTTGTAGTCGCTCTGCCACGGGGTGCCACTGAAACGGTTTCTGCTCGAATCAAATCCATGTGCCTGATTGAAATCGGACACACGATATTCACTCCCAGAACTATAACCCCTGTCCCACGTTACGTCATCGTGGCGGTGTATCTGAAAATTAAATACCTCCTGTCCTGGCTCATATTCTGCCGTGGGCGTAAGATAATTATTTTGCCAGTTGATTTTATCGAAACGATGCCCTTCTGAATCAAAAATGTTTTCCACAGTTGCCTCTTTGCCTCTTGATGTATGCTGTCCTTCCGTAATCGCATCGGTGTCACCCAGCCACACATCATCGAATGAATTCCTCGCTGAATAGTGTGAATGTTGTACGTTGTTATCTCCTTGATTTTCTTGAAAAATTCGAAGATTTTCGTTCCCTGTACCAGTATCACTGTACCACGTGTCTGGGTTGAAGCGGCCGTCGAACCCCTTCTGGTAATTGCCGACTTCTACTTCGCTCTTACTTCCAGAATAGCTGTGCCATTTACTGAATTTATTTCTCCACGAATCACGTTTATCTTGGGTACTTTCTTTCTGCTCTTTAATTCTACCAGAATCACCATTCCACGTCATGATACTGTGTAGGCTCCTCTTGGAGTCAAAGCCGCTTTGCATTTTGTCATCCCGGTTTCCTTGAGTGCCCACATCACTCTGCCATGTATGGTCTCCAAAGCCATTTGACCCTAAATTATATCTATTCCGAACAATTTTGTCTTCAAACCCTTGTTTCTCTCTGTTTGTATCAAAGTCACTAAAGCGGTTTCCCTCGAAACTGTTAATTGTTTGTAAACTGCCTTCCACTTTTTCTTCAGTTATATTTTGTCTTGCTGTATTTATGTTGAGGTCACTGTGTTCTGACGGGCTGTTTGCTGCAGAGATATTCTTTTGGTGTCCCAGAAGACGATGCCCCTCTGTCGAAGGACCATTTTCTTGTTCCATAATTGCTGGACTGGATTCACTAAACTGACGTTCCGCTGGTTGTATATCGGAATAGCTTTGAATCTCCTCCCTTCTGCGTCCATTATGTTTAACTGATGATGTGTGCATCACGCTAGTATTTGGATCATTCTTACGGCTTCCCGTCATATCTAAATCATAATCGCTTCGGTAGTTATCAGCTTTCTTGTAACTAATATTACTCGGGCTCGTCTCCCTATTTTTATCATTTAACTGATATCCCGACATATTCAACCCCAAATCGCTTTTATGATTTTCCACAACAACCTTACCATATTCATCACCCCACGTTATATTATTAAAATAATTTTTTGTTTTATCATACTCATTTTGTTCATGACGTCTGTCGTAATTCGATCCACCGTCATTTTTCACATCTTTCCCAAAGTTTTTGACCCCAGAATCACCGCTTACGTCAGTTTCTTTGTTGTCAAAGTTCACCCCTGCATGATGAGGATTTGTATGTTTGGTAAAGTAATCGTTATCACGCTGAGGAATTCTGTAATGAGGGAATAATAAAGGCTGTGAAAACACTACTTCTGAATCCGGAACCCGAAATTTAGAATTCCAGTATTCGTTCTGGAGTTGAACTCCGGTCATGACCATTATGAATAATATTAAAATATGAGTCACGCTTTGTATGTAAACCCTTTCCATATTGATGACAGGCAAATAAACCTATAAAAGTACATTTGTGATATGAAGACCTGTTAGCTAAGACACTTGAAATAACACGTCCACTTATGTCACCCCCATTCTGAGGAGATGTCGCACTGCTAGCACCAACACTATCTGACCTCCGAACAGCATAGAAGCCGGACAGGAACTTCCGAAGACGAACCCATGAATCTGTAGAATGCGTATGTCGGTCACTTGACGCTATGTGAACATGTGTACCTTCAAGAAAGTGTTTATTACTGACTCGAAGGCACACAGTAAACAGCATACCACATGCCTCCTGTTAGCTGTTTCTTAATTTTTTCTTTCTCGTGTACGTAGTATGAATAGTATGAGAAATTACTGCCACGATGAGAAAAATCTATCTCGAGATATTAACTGATGTAGAGGTTTTCAGCCCCTCTGAATATGAAAAAGTAATTTTTGGAATGCCGGTCACGGTAGCCGAGCGGTCTAAGGCATGTACTGTCTTCGCTCGCTTTGAAACCGGGATCGTGGGTTCGAATCCCAATCAGGGCTGGATCTTTGGTTCGTGTGTGTGCTTTTTTTCTGTGTTTGTATACAGGTAGAGGCCTTGCGACGAGCTGATCACCCACCCAAGGAGTCCTACCGAATGTGTAAGATCTAGAAAAACCGAAGTGAACGGAGAAGTTCATGGAGGTAGGCCTAAGCCCACTGGGGCTGTAGTGCCAAGGAAAAAAAAAATGTTTGGAATTCCGTCTTTGTATGCATACATGGATGCGCATCTCACCAGCGCCTGAACGGTTGGGTTCATTTTGTTCATAATCGGTCTATAAGTATTTGAAACCAAGAAAGAGGAAATAATAGGAGGTTGGAGATAACTGCATAATGAGCAGCTTCGTAGATTGCACCCATCGCCAAATGTAATTAGAATGATCAAGTCAAGGATTGGATTGGTATGACATGTAGAACACTTGGGAGGGAAGAAGAATGCATATAGGGTTTTGATGGGAAAGTCAGAAGGAAAGATAACACTAGAAAGACCTAGACATATGTGGGAGGATAATATTAAGATGGATCTCAGAGAAATGCAGTGGGGTAGTATGGACTGGATTCATCTGACTCAGGATAGGGACCAGTGGAGGGCTCTTCTGAATACGGCAATGAACCTTCGGGTCGAATCGCGACCACCGTGTGTGCAACTGATACACTTTCTTGCCTAATTAATGATATTGTTCCTTAAATGTACCAACCGATATTTGTTTCCAAACGTTCCACTATAGTAGTTTCTACTTCTGTTTCTTGCTCCAGAAATTCTGGATTCGAATTTTGGTCCGAAAATTAGCTATCATTGTTGTATTGTCTGAACTAATACTTTAAATTATCCTTAAAAACTTATTCCACACACTTTAAATTTCCCTTTAATAGTCTCCCTGCAGTTCTGCCTTCAACGGTCTCTAATCAGGTCAGCTGATAGAGTCGCTCTGCCATCGCATTAGTTATTAATGGTTGTGTATGCAAAGTTTGTGGAACAGAGAAAGTAAAGATCGCGTTTGAAACATTTATGAGACAAAATAGTATAAAGAACAAAATGACTCTTTTGTAATTTCTATTGTAATTTTATTCAGCTTATTCACTGGTATACAGCCCGTATGCCCTTAGGGACCACATGCATTATGACCTGAAATATAATAAGCATATGAGATTAAACAAAAGATGTTTTAATTCTAATGTTATTTTACTCAGTTTAGTCATGGGTACACATCCCGTGTGTTCTAAGGTATTGATGCATTTATAACCTGAAAATAGAAAACATTGGAGAAAGAACCATTAAGTTCTAAGGAGGCGAAATAAAGAAAAGAAAACGTCGGCTATGAAACCTAGGTATGGTGGTAAGTGGGCCTATATGCCATTTGTGTAATAACCTCAGAGTATTACACCACTGAATTGCAGGTTGTACGCTATCAATTTCATGCTTGATAGTCCTCCTATCCGTCGCTGATGCACGTCCAGAAGGACAACAGTCTTATGTTGTAATATGTGAATGGCCACACTAGACCTTCTTAAGACTTCAGCAATTGAAATCGGAAGGGTGTATGTAATTATCGTCAGTTTTCAAAGAAGGTTTCCGGGTATTTCTTTTATTGCTAGTGGGGTGGGACTAAGTCCCTTGCACTGCGGCCACTTCTGGCCTATTGTACCAGCCCCAGATGATAGGTGAGGGTGATTGTGGAGCAATTGTTGGAATGAAGATTGGCAGAGGAAACCGAAGTACTCGGAGAAAACCTGCTCCAGCGCCACTCTGTCCACCACAAATCCCACTTGACCAGACCCGGGATTGAACCCGCGCCGCCCCGGTGGGAAGCCAGCGACTAACCGCTTGAGCTATGGCGCGGCTAAGTTTCCGGGTAACAACTGCAGTGTCCTTGAAATATTCTAATCGCAACAAGCACAATCATTATCACTGAGTGTGATTTCTTTCCACAAATGGAATTCTTACGAATATATTTTTAAAAGGGGGCACATGGTAGCTTAGTTGGTTGAGGCACTATGTTACAAGCGGGAAGGTAGCGGGTTCGAGTCCGATAATGTGGATTTCTTCAATTTACCTAACCCAACCGCACTATGACCCTAGGGTTGACTCAGCCTCTAACAGAAATGAGTACCAGGAATTTTCCTGGGGGTAAAGGGCTGCCGGTGCATAAGGCTGACAACCTTACCGCCATCTATGAGCCGACTGTCTAGAAGATGTGGGAGCCTCTAACTCTCACACTCCTATGGATTTTCACGGCCTGTAACAGGGATATCTTTACCTTTTTCTTATCTTTTACTTTTTAAACTTAAAAAATGTGACCACAAGAAGTGGCCTGGCCTTTCAGTTCCGTTAATATTTATGTTGTATTTTTGGGAGTTGGCTTACCAGGAAGACAACAAAATAGAATTACTATTTATTTTTTCAGCGCATTTAAATAAAATTGGCGTTTATTTGAAAGAAATATAATGAAAAATAATAAATATTATTTAGATATTGCATTGTTACATACGTATTTTGTACGTTACAGAGAGAACTGTGGACTAACTTCTTTGACCGTCTCTTCTGACAGGAAGGAAGAGACAGTTTCACCAATACTGGATTTTATTTTACCATTGGTTTGTGGTATTTTAATTCTTGCTCGATTTAATTCCTCCCCCAGACGCTGATTATATCCAATCGCAGTAGAAGTTTCGAGCAACCACTTTTATGCTTCCGGTACATTATCAAATCAACTCTCAACTTTGTGTCACAATAATTTTGCAGAACATTCTACACAGCACTGCTCATCATCAGTCAGCTGCAGCTGTTTTGTTGATTCTCTCTGTTCCTCATCGTCGTCTTCCCTTTCTCACTGCTGGCAATCGACTACACGTTTGTGCACAGTTGTGATTCTCCACCAAGTTCTGCACTGGCTTTCCTATTTGTGCAGACTGTTTCCTTGCGTCAGACCCGCGTTTTGAACATAATTTAAGCAACGGTCTGATATGATGCAGATTCTTTGTACGAGGTGCTTAAATTCCACTGCACCCAAAGAGTTGGACCGCCATCACAGTTTGTTATTGAATGTCGAGAGGCTGTTAGTAGTTGCATTTCGACTCCATCGCAGCCGTCAAAAAATGAGAGGCATATTCTGGAATAGCAATGCTGTTGAGAGGAAATATTGCTATAGCCCTCTGAATCCAGACAAACCAGAGCCAACACAGACTGCTTCTCCAGCCTCTAGCAATCACTGCACCTGCTTGGAACTTTCCGAGTTCAAAATAGCCAGTAGCCTGGCTTAAAGAAAATTCTGTGTAAGGGTTCTAGTGCTTGGGTTGTGTGGCTGGGTAGACAAATAATGATCTCATTGTTGTGAGCAAATTCAAGAATTTCTATAGAAATTTTACGTGTACAGTAAATTTTTACATTTATATTGAATGTAAATTTAAGAATAATATACCGTATTTTTGTAATAATATTGTGAACATTTCATATGTTTCTCCCTGCACAACGAAAGCTGTTTTCAATTAAAAATTTCTTAACAATAGAATCACTACAATGTGGTATTTTCACGGAACGTAGACAATGATTTTACAGTACTCGAACATTCCGCATCAAGGCGAGTGCGGAAGTGAAGAGGTTTTAGTATAATTTCAAATTATTGAAGGATAATTTTCGAAAAAGCTTTTGAAAACACTATATGTTTTGCTTTATAAGTGACTATTAAACATTAAATATCAGTTGTATAATTGAGAAATAAAACATTGAAAACTGTATTATCTTTCGAAGTGTTCATGTTAGTCTGTCCACTTCCTGCTATCTCAGCTTACACAAACCAAGCTTGGAGAGGCAGGCTGTCTCTCCTTCTTTTCATAGAATAAGAGGTACCTATGTTGTAATTCGTACTCTTCACCTAAGGAAGAAGAATAGATTGAGTGAGGCATATAGCATGCATTACAGGTATAGAGAGATAAGAATGTTTGTTTAGCAATCTTCACTCAGAGACAACTTGGCAGATCTAGGCAAAGATGGGTATTAGAGAAGTGAAACGGATAAGTTCTTGTGAAGATGTCCTTAAAACTTCTCGTCCATTGAAGGTGGTGGTTTCTTGTTCAGCTCAGCTGCCAGTTGCTGTAGAAAGGCTATAACCTGGACTATGGTAGTTAATTAGTTTCGACGTTCCAAAGGGACGCTTCCCTTATGCCTTCAAACTTTGTTTTTGTCTTGAATTTTATAAATGCCAGGTAGTTTATAATTTGTCACTTCGAGCTTCGGTGGCTTCTAACGGAAGGAAAAAAATTGCGTTATTAATTGTGGTATCACTTACTTTGTGTTTCGTCGTATGAAATCTGTCACGTTTTGCTGCTTTGTCATTTGTTCCACTCCGATGATAGTTGTTACGTATCCTTGACCCACGGCCTTATTTCTAGACCCACTTCTGCCTGCTGATGACCGGAAAGCAGGCGACTGTCGTCAGCACGTACTGTAGGAAGCAGGGAAAGTTAATCAAAATCAAAATGTAAGCCGAAACCTGAAAGTGAGACTGTACGTCTATCTAAAGGCGCGTCCACATTACTCGTGCTCGTGTTCGCCAGGCTTGTACTCGTCGGGGAGACTCGTCTGGCTTTTACTTGTGCTCGTAAATCTTCGTCCACACTACTTCAGTTGCTCGCCAGGCTTCGGCGCGTGAGGATCCGTATATTTACTCGTACTGTGTATAGGCTGTAGTCTTATTTTAATTTATTGGCTATAGTTTTTAATTAAAAAATTAAAATTTGCTTGTTTCGTGACTTGTCATATCGTCCACATTACTCGCGAGCATAGCGAGTCACACGAGCACGAGTAATGTGGACTCGCCTTAAGATATATCTGTGCTTCGTAGCAATACGTGAACGTCTGTTAGTTCAGAGGGAAACGCATGTCTGCAGGGCCGTAACATCACTTGTCTGGGCAAATGGACTTTGATAACATCTGGTAGTGCAAGTCTCACTACATTTTTAACTTCTACTTCGCTCAACTAGGATGTTCTCTCCTAGTTAGGGGTGTGTTGCCCCACATAGAGTTTCAAGAGAAATAATTCCCCATCAGTCTTTTGAATAACCTGAATACGCATCAGTGGTTTAGTGGTTAGCTATCTCTACCCCTGATGTGCTGCCCTTTTCGCCCGTAATTCGTCTGCTGCTATTACCCCTCGAGAATGGCCTTTACACTATACGTATTATATATGACTTGTATTTATCAGGTGGCCGTTTCGAGTCCCGGCAGGGACACCAATTATCATGACTGATAGGTTCCGTGGTTTTTCTCAGACCCCGCAGACGAATACCGGGACTGTATCTCGAAATAAGTCACGGACACTTCAGTACATTCATTCATTAATCACTCTACCATTTGAAGATACATATTCTGAGCTGCTGACTTACTCATGGAGCTGAGCCCTTCTGGAGGAGCCGCCAATTCTGCAGCTACTTAAGAATTTCCCAGCATTTTATGGAACCCGAAGGTTCATTACCGTGTTCACAAGAGCCCTCCACTAGTCCCTATCCTGAGCCAGATCTGTCACAATCCATACCATCCCATCCTATCTCTCTAAGATCCATTCTAATATTGTCCACCCACCTACGCCTTGGTCTTCCCTGTGGTCTCTTTCCTTGTGGCTTTCCCACCAATATCCTATGCGCATTCCTCGTCTTCCCCATTCGTGCTACATGACCTGCCCACCTCATCCTCCTTGACTTGATCATTCTAATTATACTTGGAGAAGAGTACAAGTTATGAAGCTCCTCATTAAGCAGTTGAGCTGCTGACAGCAAAGCTAAATAAACAATAATAATAATAATTAGTAGTAGTAGTGGTAGTAGTGTATTAGGATTGTATTATACTGTACATAATGGTTCTGCAACTTTACTTCACGCGCGGCACACACTGATTTGCCAAAGACGCATGTCGGTACACCACAAAAGAATGACCATTCAGGAGTAAAGTTTTCTCTCTTCTTAACTAATTAAGCACTATGCCAGGAAGACGTAAGGTGGAATGGAAGGTTAGACCCACGTTCTCTTGACCTCGGTACTGGTTGGAGGTGAGTGAATGAACATTTACGATTCAATAATTTAATTCAACATACTGCCTTTTTCTAACTATAACGTGGGAATGTACAATTTCTTACACAAATTCGCAGCCCACCAGATGTTTGGCCTCACACTGCTACTCATAACCGACCGTCTGTAGTATGGTGGTATTTTGACTAGGTTGTCTGAAGTACTGAATCTCTTTGGGGGAATTCGTTGTTCAAAGTGTACCGATCTTGGTTGAGTGCGGTTCCGGTTTTTGAGGGTTAAGCAGGTTGTTCGTCGAAGGAAGTAACATAAATTCAGCATAAATCATGTACTGAGGCCAAAATATGTCGCCAGCAGTGTTTCTAGACCCATGCTTAGGTAGTACTGATATATATCATGTGACTGTGCTGTGGTAAATACTTTTGGTGGTGATATGGTATAATCAGTGCTGCTAAGAGTTTTGTTACTGGGTATAATTGGAGGTAATTTAAGTCGTCATTAATGATAATATGAATTTAGTAATGTTGCTGTGTTTTAATATTTCCGTGAAAATAATGCTTGTGGAATCTGTGCTATGGTACAGATTGCACCTTTTAGAATGCCGTTTTGCAATGGAGGACTAGAAATCGCATCTGTGGGTTACCAATCCTGTCGCTGGCAATAATTGTACTGGGTTTCATAGATGCATGTGTTCTTTTCTTTAATACAATCAATTGATTGTATTAAAGAAACACATGCATCTAGGTATTTGATTTTCAGTCTATCACTTCCAGGAACTTTGACATAGACACTGGTTCATGTTTATCTCTGTAGCAGCTGTGCTTGCACTGCCATATCCCAGCACAATTTATAACATTAAAGTATTGAATGTGACAGTTGTTGGATTGAATTAATGAGGTTGTAGGGTGAGTTGCGGCTTACTGAATGTCATCTTTCTGTGGTACACCCCTTACCAAAGATAAAGAATCAGCAACTAAATGATGACAATATGAAATTACGTTCTTTTGAGGGTGAAGTGCCGCTATGTATTTTTCAGCTGCTGATTTACTATTTTCTCATTTTAGCCAGGATAGCTCAGTCAGTATAGTGATTGGCTATGGGCTGGTTGACCAGTGTTTGATACCCAGTAGGACACAAGGGGCTCCTTCTCCAGGTTAGAGTGACCAGGAAGTGAAGCTGAACACACACCCCCATCAAGTGCCATGGTCAAGAATGGTGGAGCTATACCTCCACTCCCCTTTGTATCTTTATGAGGTGGTGCTTAATTAATTAAGCCCAAGAACAACTATTACCTTTACCCTCTTTTTGTTTCATGGGATGGAGGGAGACTGAGTTCTCTTGGTACGTTGGCCACTAATTGGCCTGTTGTATCATTCCCGGATGATAGCTGATGATGAATGTGGAGCAGTTGGTGGAATGAGAATTGGCAGGGGAAGCCAAAGTGTTTGGAGAAAACGTGCCCTAGTGCCACTTTGTACACCAGAAATCCCCCATGACCTGACCTGGGTTTGAACCTCGGCCACAGTGGTGGGAAGCCAGTGACTGCCTGAGGTATGGCATGGGATACCTTTACCTCTACTGTTGTAATTTAATTTGATTCTTGTTTTTTTCTCAGTTGAGGTAAAACAATGGGATCAGAACACAGTTCCCAGCAGGGACCTGTTTCATCTGGTGGGAACCGAGTAAATCTGCAGAGAGGCAAGTCGGTTCCAGAGAGAGATAATGGACCAGAGAGTGGGGAGGGAATGAGACCTGGGAGCATCTCACCTGGTCCTAGTGTATGTTCGGATTCAGACCTGCCGTATATCTCATACACTGTCAACAGACCTATAGGAGGTAATTAATATATCACGCACTGACCAGGAGTATATGAATAAGGATCACATGGTAGAAAACTTGTATTTATGGCTTTTTTTCTGTGAATATGGGGAATATACTGTAAGTTGCCCAGATTTACCTCTTTCACCATACCTCACCTTGCATTGAACTGCTTTAGCTTAATCCAAACAGATATACAAAATAACCTAAACAATGCATTCCACCTCATAGTCATAATATGTCTAATGTTGTAGTATTTGTGGTATAGGGGTGGACAAGTCTATATAATTGACCATTTTATTCTTTTACAGTATGCATTTTATCTTTATTATTGTTTTAAGTGTTCATCAGCCCCTATATTTTTCATCAGTTTTAAACTCCACACTTTTTGCATCTCAGAGGGATATGGAAGTGTATTTAATTGACTCTTACTGTTTGACTTTAACTGAACATTTATCATAATTTCTTCTACCACCTTTACGTGCTTTAGTCAGATCACTGTACCTTTTGACAAATGTTTGATTTTATTTTATTAGGTACTGAGTTTTATAAAAGATGTTTCAATTTGCCCCTGGGTGCAAATGGTCTGTGTGCTTGTATCATACGTTGTTGAGACTTGCTTGTAAGTGTATCAGTATGTATGATATTTATTTATTTATTTTGTCTCTATAGATCATTGTTACATGATATAGGACAAGTCAGTTACTGTACATTGGCGTATTACAATACAAGAGTAAGGTTACAATACTTACAATTGTTTACAATATAGTTAAGAGTTTGTACAGTGTAAGGTGGAATCCATATTAGGTCCCCTCAGCACATCGGCTTCCATATGTCCTATTGTACCTGTACCGGTGATTATGCTTATGGAGAATTTTATGGAATGAGGATTGGCAGGGGAAACCGAAGTACTCTGAGAAAACCTGCCCCAACACCACTTTGTCCATCACAAATCCCACTTGACTAGACCGCAGTGGTAGGAAGCCAGCGACTAACTGCTTAAGCTATGGCGTGTGTTTGTTATGAATTTTAATATGTTACAATGAAATTGTATTGATGATATGGCTGGCCAGTATGTGTGGAATGGCAAGATGTGCAATTGTGCAGCATAGAGTTGTTATGGTTGGAAATATGAGGGATATTGTTCAGGGTCAAATGTGACGGTGGTTTTTCCACAGCCTATGTGTGTTGTCTTAACAACTTGTGATGTCTGCATGAGGCCTGATTATATATTTTATTGGACCAAGGACGTATGATGTGTGGTCATCATGAATTTGTAATGTGTGACATATTTTATATCCAGCCCTACGGGGTGATCATTGGATCCATGAAGTGAAAATAAATGTAAATGTAAATAGCTGTAACCGCTGATGCACTTGCCCACCCATTTGAAAATAATCTATAAAATTTTATCTTACATCAACATTCCTCAGCTTACCTCATATTACATAATTTTAACTGACTATACATGATTTGTGTTGTTTTCTCTACATCTGTTCTTCTGACTTCATCTGGCCCACTTCTCCATTGTTGTGTAAGTCATTTGATTTTAATGCGCCCTTTTTCTGATGTGATTATAATCCATTCATAAAGCTTGAGGACAATCCAAAGGAATATTGTGTTTGAAGTCAGGACAGCTAGGATGGAACATTGATATCTTTCATATAATCTCAGTTATTGTTGTCAGTGAAAGTAATTTACACAGCTCACAATCACCGATTACAACACTGCTGTTATAAACAGTTACATAGTTGTGTAGCATCAGTAAATATTGGTTCTTTTGTCTTTGATTCTAAATTATTAATCATTGTCATTAAACAGTTTGAAACAGTGTATTTTAACTTATAAACTAGCATGAGTCACAACTACAGTATAATTAACACTGCACACTTGTCAGTGATTATTCTCAGACTGACACCAGTAGGTCAACAAGCATATACAATATTACTTTGAATATCAGACACACATTTTTCACATTTTTTCCTGCTTAATTGAGGTGTGTCTTAAATTCGAGGAATTATTCACCAGATTACAAGCTGTCCATGGGGTAGCCTGGAATGAGCCTAATGTAAACACATTTGGAGTGATCTATCAAGCCACATCGTCCCCCCTTCCTTCAACTGTGAGGCAACATCCAACTTTCAGTTCAGTCACTGCATGACATTGTTATCATTCAGGTATCATTCAGATATCATTATCTCCCTTGCTGTATGTTAAATTATTTCAGTACTTAAAAGTAACTTTTTTCGTCCTTGGTACTACAGCCCCAGTGGGCCTAGGCCTACCTCCATGAACTTCTCCGTTCACTTCGGTTTTTCTAGATCTTACACATTCGGTAGGACTCCTTGGGTGTGCGATCAGCTCATCACAAGGCCTCTACCTATACACACACAAACTAAACATCCATGCCCTGAGTGGGATTCGAACCCACGATCCCGGTTTCCAAGCGAGCGAAGACAGTACATGCCTTAGACCGCTCGGCTACCGTGACTGGGGATGTGTAGGACAGGTTTCATTGTGTATTCATTGTGTTTCATGTGGTTTCAAGGACTGTAATGCATGAGGTCATGCGTGGTGGCTTCGATAAATGTTTCAAATAACCACATAAATGCTGGCAGATTTTAGTAATTGCTGAATAATGTGGTGAAGGCGGATTTGTCATTTAGGGTTTTTAGTGCCATAAAATTAAAGATATGGCTACCATCTCAGACCTTGAAGCTGTTTGTAGTCGGAGTTATCTAAGGGACTAACATACATACTTAAAATTCTTTAGATTCTCCGAAATTACCAATTAAGCATGGAAGTCACTTGCAGCGTGGCAAGTCTCTGGGTTCCAACAGCCGAAAGAGTGGTGGGACAATTCCCAAAAGGCAGTTCTCTATGATGAACAAGTTGTCAACCCATAATATTGTTGTGGTAAAACCTGCTGTCAACACTGAGGCCATGGACAAGGACCCAGACTTACTTCAGCTGCAGGTGAGGAGCATTGTTTGTTAGTGATTGTAGATATAGCTTGTTATGAAGTGAAGGTTATCAATTCATTCTCATCTAGAGCACTGCCTGGCCAGTCTGAGGTTTGTTGTTGTCATTTTCCTCAATCCTGCAGGTAAATTCAAAATAGTTCTTATAGACATGCCACTACGTCTTTCTCCCCCATCCTTCCCAGCTCAGTGTACACAATCATGCTGTTATTTCAGTCAGTGCTGCATAATCTCTACAGCTGACAGATGGATTCTTTTGGTTGGGCACATACGAATCCATCTTGTTCTTGTGTTCTGAGAACTGAGAAAAGAATTTACCATGAATGACATATGATTAGAAAGAACATTTAAGAGTTATGGAAATTTTCAATGCTAGAAGCTCTTTCCTCAAACTTCAGTTGTAAGTCTCGTAGCAAAATTGTTTGATATTTAACAGCAATCTGTGATTTGCTGTGGAGTCTTATTTTAAAGTTTGCCATGGCTACAAAATTCTTATTAAAACTTGATACCTTTACCAAGATTTGTCTACTGGCCTCTGTTTTTCCAGGCAAATTCAGGGATAATGTGTTCAAAGCATCTTTGCACATGTGACTTTCAAGGTTGTGATTGCTCTGTAGAGTGTACCTATGTTCCTGCCAATCATGCGAGGGACCCTAAACCTGCCAGCTGTCCGTGATCCAGAGGTTTTGGAGCGACTTGACCCAAGTGGACTACTGAACCTATGCCTGCGATATCAACAGCACATCGCCTTATGCAGTGAGGCGGTCGCTTCAGAGCAAATGCAGCTTGGTCACAGTGTTCGGGATGTGAGTAACTCTGACCTCATATTGTCACTTAGAATAATTATTATATTTCTATGGTTTAAATTTCACATAATGTTCCAGTTTTGGCTTTTTATTTTAATTTACTATGGTAGTTGTTCATTGCCGGTCACAGTAGCCAAGCAGTCTAAGGCGTGCACTGTCTTTGCTCGCTCAGATACCAGGTCATGGATGTTTGTGTGCGTTTTTCTGTGTTTATGTACAGGTAGAGGCCTTGCGATGAGCTGATCACCCGCCCAAGGAGTCCTACCATATGTCTAAGATCTAGAAAAATCGAAGTGAATGGAGAAGTTCATGGAGGTAGGGGTAGGCCCACTGGGGCTGTAGTGCCAAGGAAAAAAAAAAGAGTTGTTCATTATTAATAAATTAAAATGAGGCATGCTTAACAAAAAGAAATTAACAATATGGCACGGTTGATTGTTGCTCAAGAAATCTGTGTTATTGCAGAACCCAGAAGTTCGTCATAGTCTTCTCAGCAGCTAGCCATTTGATCCATTGCAAACACTAAATATAAACCAATGGAAGAACAATAACATTTATTAAACTGATTTTAATCAACCTTCATGTTCTGTATGTTCTGGTTATTGTGATTGTAGTACCCATTTTGATTTAGCTTCTGTTAAGGAAACTGTCCAGTATTATTTTGTGTGACAGACAGATGTCATTTTGCTGAAGAGTGAATCCTGTATTCTGCTTCTGGGAGAGTGTGCTTATAAAAGGAGGCTTCCAAGAACATTTCTCGATAAGATATCTGAAGGTATTAATGGAGAATATTCCCATCTTACTGGAGAATATTCTAAGTAGCTAATGATAAGCTGCATACAGTGAGAGTCCATGTTCAATAATCACCTTAAATGAAAATGCTATTCACTTAAAACAAATAGGAAATAATTTTATTTTGTAATTAAAATGGTGTGTTTGCCTCAATGTAATGACAATGTCTAGAGTATATGGTTTTTGACTCTTCATTCTTCCTACACTTTCATTGCATGAAGTTTACAGAGTCTAGACTTCCTCACTTACCTTGATTTAAATTGCTTGAAACTATCAGTGAAACGTGCGCTTTAACTTTGCAGATTGACTTTGAGGTATCAAGACTGATGACAGTCATGACAGAACGTCAAAAGAAATTTGCAAAGTATGCAGAAAAACTTGCCAAAGTGCATGAGCTGTCTCACCAGTTGAACCGTTGCCATATGGTGCTGAATCAAACACTAGAGAGTATGGAAACACTTAACAACACCCTTCCTGTCGAAGAGCGGCTAGAACCATTTGTCTGGACAACTGGTTGAATTGTCAGATCTCAGATATCTCCCAGACACTCTGGAGTGCAGCTTATACCATAATAGGTAAAAGCATTCTTCTTAACACTGTGTGTATGCTCATGTATGTGATAATTTGTATTAGAGAACTGGCTGTTCTACTGTAAATCTGTTTTTCCATACACCATAGAAAATATGCTCATATTGAAGTATGTATTTTGAATATTTTAATTAATTGTAGCACTGTTATGATTAACTAATCCCCATATATACAGAGATATTGGGTTTTCAGAGGACATTTCGGAAACTGGATCTGTTTCCCTCCTCACGGAAGGGAAAACACCTATTCTGTTGGGTCCCTTACAAAGAGCTAGCCTCAGTCACTACACCGATGTCNGTCTAGTCACTTGAACGGTCGTATGCCTGACCGCCGCCAAGTTTAAGCCTCTTATACTTTCTGTGTCTGGCTTCGCCTTGTCATATGTTGCAAACATTCTCATTATCATGATTTTGTATGACTTCTGCTTGTTGCCTGCATAATTTTGTTATGTAATCATATACGTACGGAATTTTGAATGCCATGTGCAACTACACCGATGTTCCAAAACACAAAGGTTATAAATACCTGAGACCAGGCTAAGTCCATGAGAGCTAATAAGAAAAATATACGTCACAAATTGTTCCAAACATGTACAAGCGTGGAACCAGGATAGGTAGAGCCGTAGAAATTTATGTCACAAAACCAAACTAATGACCAGGACCATGACCCCACGGCGTGGAATAGAAAGGAGAACTAGTAGAAAACTAATAGTGTCTAACTAGTGTCAATAATGGAGTAAATCACGTCTCTCTAATTTAGAACCTAATAGAAATCAATAAAAACATATCACGTCTTTCTAAGGGACCCAACAGAATAGGTGTTTTCCCTCCCCTGAGGACGGAAACAGATCCAGTTTCCAAAACGTCCGGTTTTTCTTAGTTATCTTAAAACCAGGATGATGGATAAAGTCTGAAAACCCAATATCTCTGTGTGTTATACACTACCGTCAGAATCCTATAGTAACTAATCCCCATATATATTTATGATAAAGATTTTCATCATCATGATGTTTTAGTATAGAATTATGTCAGAGTGCCATGTCATTATATGTGAGATCTCCGTCAGCACATGGTGTATAGTCAGTCTATAATTAGATGCTTGCTTTCATTCAACTGCATGTTTCAGTCTTGTTGGCCATCCTCAGGTTGGTGTTGTCAAGCTGAGGGTAGCCAACTAGGCTGAAACATGTTGAATAAAAATAAGTATATTGTTGGTTGGCATTGATGATTCAAGGTGATTATTTTGAATAAAACTCCGATTCACTTGGATATTACTCTTTACTACATCTTACTGTACATTTTATCTTACACACACACCGGATGCCCACATCAGTGCACCCACTCACCGATTACTGCGCCATCTCATGGCTTACACCAATACTCACTTTCATGAAAAATTGCA